CCCCACAAATATGAAAACCACCTAAATTGGATGGCATCCTTATTCTGAGAGAGAGGGAAAGTGGGTAGAAATCAGGATTATGTATGAGAGATTTTGGGGAAAATCAGTTTTATCTATGCACCTGTGAAATTGAGAGATTTTGGTAAAAGTAAGTCTTACGTGTGCAAAAAATTGCAGATTATTGTGGAAAAAAGGATTGGAATCGATTTTATTATTGAGGTAAAAATTTTTGCAAACATTTTTGCGAAATTTGTTAATACTAGAGATTTTTAAATTTTAAAAGTACAAATACTTTGCAAAATTTGCGAAAAAAACGTCAAACTACAAAGTTTTGTGCATTTTTTTCTGTCAGAAATTATGACAAATAAATTTTTTATTTATTTTAAAACTACAAAAATCGTTATTTTTCCCGTCTAAAAATATATTTATATGCATTTTTAAATTCATTTTTGATATTTCGCCTTGTGAGAAAATTTGTACTGTAAATATTTGTAATTTTTGGAGAAAAGTACAAAGCAAAATTTCCGCTTGCTGATCATCTAGCACTCTTTTTGCAACGTAAAAAAATACGCACTTGTGCCAATTCTGGGGAGGGGGTCAAGTAGATTTTTTGGAAGGAGAAAACGTGTGTACACAGGAGTGCGGTTTGAGAGGAGAAAGTGGAAAATGTGTCTACAAGTCGTAATCATTTTATCCCTACGGCCAACAAACGGGGAAAAGGAGAACAATGCCATAATCGCCATACTCTTGCTTTCACCCACTGTCCAGCCAATTTCGCCTCGCTACTTTCTCCCAAGCGCCGCGGTGCCAAAGCGCCCTCATATTCGCTGCTTTCACTCATAATCTCTCAACTTTCTCCGAAGAGCCCGGGTAGCAAAGCGCATCCAATAATTGGTACTGTTGCTGCTTTCACTTTATCCCAAGCGCCGCGGAGGCGAGTGACCTACTCCTTTCACTCAGCACTTTTTCCTACGCGCCGCGCTCTTGTAAAGCGCCCCTATCTATAAAGCAGGAGATTAATGCCCTCGATAAGAAAACGACACTATTGAACTAATATGGGTCTAAATTAAATTTTCAGACAAATTTCAGAAACGGCCCAGTCTCCACAGGTTTCACCCTGTACGTTTTTCTGGGGCAACTTTATTTTTACGCACTTAGAATCATAACAGGAAAATTTTTCTAACACATTTGTGTCTCCAGAGTGTAAAATTGTTTAATTAAAAACAATAAAATTTCTAAAACAAATTGCTGTCGGAACGAGCCTATGGTTAGTATTTTAAAATTAGACCTTTTTTAGTATAAGAAACGTATGAAAAAGCGTATAATTTTCTCTAGAGTGTAAAATTGTTTAATTAAGAACAATAAAATTTCTAACAAAATTTGCTATCGGAACGAGCCTATTATATAATTAGACCCTTTTTTACGTACAAAAAAACCAATAATTTTAATGGACAGACCATAACGTCCCCATCGGATTGTGCGGTGCCTGAACGTAAGGAGAACCTCGTCAGCGAGTGGATGGAGCGGAGGAGAAGAACCTACTTATTCGAGGGAGCAGAATCCCATTGTGCACATTCCACACAAAGGACCAGGACTCCACACGAAATGAAATGAAGCAAATTTCAATTCCTTGCTTCACCAAAAGTGAAGCAAAAGTGAGCAACAAAATCCCTGCATAACGCACACCCGCGCTCATGTCATCATAACCACCACGCCGCTTGCTTTCACCAGCCTCTCCCCCTTTGTGGCCTGCAGAATGGGTTAAAAATAAATATGGACCGAAATAGCCTCCTGTTTTGGCAGGGAACTAATTAAAAAATAGATTTAGATGATTGTTACAGATGGAAAATGGTAAAATTTGCGAATGAAAGGGGGATTGTTTCGGGGAGAAAATTGGAAAATGGGGGAAAATGTTAGACTTTTGTAAAAAAAAATGTGAATTTTGCGGTGTGAAATTCAAATTAAAATTGTATTAATTTTTTTAAACCAATTTTGCAGTGAAAGCGAATTTTGTTTTCTAGCGAGAAAATATGAAGAATTTATTTTCTTACGAATTGAGTTGTTTTTTAGAGTGAAAATTTGCGAAAAAATTAGCCATAGTTTGGGGAGAAAATTGAAAAACGAGGGTCGAATAATATAAATTTTTATAGAAATTTTGGCAATTTTGCGATATTTTAAACACGTGAAAATTCTGTTCCCAGAATTCCAGTGAAAGTTTTAGTTAGAAAATGAACTAAAACAGATTTTTAGGTTTATTAACCTTTAAAGCAGAAAAACAAGTATAAATTCCGAATAATTAAAATTTACCGTAAAATTTCTATAGTAACCAATTAAACAGCTTTCCCATTGTAGGGAGAGGAGAATGGGTTAACAATAAATAAAGACCAAAATAACATAATGTTTTGGTTGGAAGCTAATTAAAAAACCATATTTAGACTATTGTTTTAGGCTCAAAATGTCAAAATTTGTGAATAAAAGGGTAGAGAATTGGAAAACGGGGGGCAAATTGTTGTCATGGACTTTTTATCTAATTTTGGCCATATTTTGCATCAAAATTATGAATACTTTCATTGAGATTCTCAATTTGAGAATGTCCAAAAATAGGAAAAACGATGCAATATATTTATAAATTATCGAAACAACATTAAAATTCTGTCCCCTAAAATCAGGTGATAGCTAAAAAACAAACCAATTTTATATAATAAAACCTTTCTTAATTTTAATCGGGAAAGAAAGTCGGAAAATAAATGTAAAAAAAACAATACAAAATTCTGAAAATTTAAAAAATCTACCTCAAAATTTTCTAAGTTATCATTACTTTCACTCTAAAATAATTACATAGCTTTATCTAGTTAGCTAGCTACGATTTCCGTAAAGAAAAAGAGAAAGTTTTATATGGTGGCCAGCCAAAATCTCTTCCAAAACCACAACTATTTCTACAAAATCTCTGGTCTAAAGTGCTTTTTGTACAGGTTTTTTGTTTCGTAGAAGAAAGTTGATGCTGAAAACTTTTACATCAACCTAATAAATAGGTTCAGAAAACAAGAACAAATTCCGAAAAATTGCAAAAATTCTCAATTAATCTACCTTAAAATTTAAAATGTGCTCATCACTTTCACCCTAAAATAATTACGCATATTCATTTAATTAACCATCAATAATTCTGTGGGGAAAAAGAGAAAGTTTTATTTAGTGGAAAACCAAAATTTCTTCCATTAAAACCACAACAATTTCTATGGAATTGTTGTGTTAAGTGATTTTTCCACATGTTTTTCAGTTACGTGGAAAAAAATAGTTGCTGAAAACTTTCACAGCGTGGCAAATAAATGCAAAAACTAAGGTTAAATTGGGAAAATTAAAAAAATACGAAGTGAGTCCTGAAAACTTTCCCAGTTTTCACGTAAAAAACACATAAATGCAGAAAAACAAGAATAAATTTCCTACAAATTCGAATGATTCCACAAAAAATTAAAAATCCAAGCCTATCAACCTCAAAATTCCCAAAATAAGCATCACCTTCACCCTAAAAAAATTACCTCCATTGATTTAATTAACTCCCAATAATTACGTTGAGAAAAGTAGAAAGTTTTGTTTGGATCTCTAACCAAAATTTGTTCCCGGAAGAAAACCACAACTATTTCTCCAAAATTTCTAAAGTGCTTTCTCCACAGGTTCTTTTTTCCAGAAAAAACGAACTGGCTCCTGAAAACTTTCACGTAACACATAACGTCCGAGGACATTTTTTGAGGAAAGAGAGAAAGAGTGAAAAAAAACAATCGGGCGGTGGCGGTGGTGTTTTAGGCTTTGGGGAAAACAATGGGGCAAAAATACCACGGGAGAAGCAACAAGGAGCCGACGGAGAATACATAACCTACTTAAATACCAACGAGATGGAAGTAGTTTTGTTTTATTTTAAGCTCTTTTATTCCCCGGAGAGTGAGTGAGACAGAGAGAAAGTAGGAGAGCGGATCAACCTTGAAAAAAAAGTGGTGGGGAAAGTAGAGAAAATATTTTTCTACTTCTTTCTTTTTTCCTACTCTACTTACTTACTTGCTTTCTCTCTACTTTCTCCTTCTTTTTTAGTGGGATGGCAAGACACACATTTATGTAATAGGTACGTACACTCAAGTAGGTGAGGAAGCAGTGGTAACAAAATTATTACCGGGGAGGAAATTTTTATGGGAATGATTTGAGGTGAGAGAAAGCAAGATTTTGAGGATTACTTTAGTCATTTTAAGTAAAAAATTGATAAAGTCGTGAATTGTTATCTAATTATAATAATTCTTCGGTAACAGTTTTATTACTAGACTGGCTAACTAGCAAATAGAAGTAAGCCGTGGTAATAAAATTATTACTGAGGAAGGAATAACGATTTATTTGGCACGATTTGAAGTGAAAGAAAGCAAAATTGTCTGGGATAAGTTAATAGCTAAATTTTTTTAATTGATAAGGATTTTTATTTTAGTCAGTATTTCGTTACCAAAATATAGTTACTTTTCGGTAACAATTTTGTTACCAGGTTATGCAACTACGCACACTTTTTACGGGTATAATAATCGTTTCAAATATCAAAAGCGGTGCAGAGAAAGCGATACAAATTCATTTCTCAGAAAAAAAATAAATGCTTTCACTTTTTAATTTTACGGGTAAAATTGTCACTTTGGAATTTACAATTGTACCGAAAATTTGATTTGGTAACTATGGTAAATTTTGGTGAACTGTGACCATCTTGGGATGGTAACAAGATTTTGGGGAATAATTAAATAATTTGGGAACTGTAATAAATTTTGGTAACATTTTTGGTAAAAAATCTGTCTACCGGGAACGGTAGCAAAAATTTTATTTAAAATTTACCAAAATATTGTTACCATTCTTTCCCCAATTATTTCCCCTTTGTAAAAAAGCATTTACTTTTTCGCATTCTTCTTCAAGACAAGCAACAACAGACACACATCATTTCCAAAATTTGCAAAAAGTATGCCAAAATATTTGCAACTTACCTCTTTCTTAAGCTTTCTACTTGTTGTTGTTCTTCTCCTGGTAACTCGACCGGTAAGATTTTGACCAGACCGGATCTGATTTGTTGGTGAGACTCGAGTGAAGAAATTACGACCGAAAAATCTGGATCTTTCACCACAAAGAGAGCCAGCTTTCACCAAAACTTTCTCCTCCTTCGGAACGAAAGTCTTCTCAAATTACCCCCGGATTTGAGTCACTCGACTTTTGGTATGTAGTAAATCTCTGGTGAATTTGATGTAAGATATGAATTTGCAAAAAGTATCAGGTTTTTTTTGCACAATTTGCAAAATTAAGAGAAACAGTAGATAACTAACTGTCCCTGATATTAATTAATTTGCGAAACTATCAGATTTTTTTGACAATTTGTATGCAAACTAAGCAACAGTTGATCTCTGTCCCTGGAATGAATTAATTTGCAAAGCTAGCTGATTTTTTGCACAATTTGCAAACTAAGAGGAAGAATAGATCTCTGTCTCTGGAATGAATTAATTCGCGAAACTATCAAATTTTTTGCACAATTTGCAACCTAATAGCACCAGTTGATCTATATTGGGCAACTTTCGTTAATATTTAGCCTATTTCTTCCTATATTGTACAGAATTTACTATTTTTAACTCGCATTAAAATTTAATATGCTAATTTTTGAAATTTTTTTTCAAGAAAAAGTTTGTTATAAAGATTACAATTTTGTTTTGTATGCTAATTTTTTGAATAGAATGTTTGTTATAAAGTGTATCTTTTTGTAAACTCTGTTTGTCTCAAATTACCCCGTTTTTTTTACTAAATTTTACACTGTGTCTAACTTTGTCTAAAATAAGCATAAACGTTCCCCTCCGGTGTATCACGACGACCACACCTAAAAAATGAGTAAAAAATAAAATGTGAGATTTTGAAAATAGAATTAGAGATAAATTTCCGAAAAAATGTGCCGCTACCTAATTCGCGGTGAAAATGAAAATTTTGTGAAAATTGTGAAAATATGTGGAATTTTAAAATTTGTTAATTTTGATAAAAAGTGGATTGATTTTTTTGAAATGATGAAGAGAAAGTGAGAGAAAGTGGAGAGAGAAAGGTCTGGCCGGTAGGAAGGTACACGTCGTACTGGGGAGATTTTGGGGCGAGACTGGGATTTTGGGGCAGAAGAGGAGAGGCAGGCGAGGCGAGGACGAGACGAGGACAAGAGGAGGCGATGGGGAGAGAGAAACCTGGAGAAAGTGGAGACCACTTTCTCTCCTGGAAAAGGTGAGTTGCTTTCACTAGAAAGGTTGGAGAAAGGTGGAAACGAGTCGGGAGGAAGAGGAGACGTAGATGGGGATATGGGTTTCTTGAGAATTTTGGGAAATGATGAGGGGGGCGATATATTTCTAGAGAAAATGGGTGGAAATTTTCAAATTTGTGTATACATTTTTCGAAAGTTGGGAGAAATATGTGGGATTATGAAATGTATGCGCGTAGTGTATGAACTAAACCTGGAGAAAGTGAAAAGGTGAGTAGCTTTCCCCAGAAATTTTGGAGAAAGGTGGACACGAGTCGGGAGGAAAAGGAGGCTTAAAACGTATGTGGAAGGGAGGTGTGGGTTTTTTGAGAATTTGAGAGAAATCTGGTTTACTGAGGCAGCTATTAATTTCTCCGTGTTAAAATTATACCGGATTATACTAATCTTGAAATCTGATCTGGTACAACTTTGATACCGAGTTCCACTTTCTCTTCTTGAGCACCTTTTCTCAGAAATTGTGCACTAAGGTGGAGACTAGTTTGGAGGAAGAGAATGCTTTTACGTAATAAAGCGACATGACGAATGTATGGGTTTCTTGAGAATTACTTGGGAGATATGTTCCTGAGAAAATGGGTTTCTGTGAAAATTTCCAAATTTTCTATTTGTAAATAAAAAAACTTCAAAAACCAGGAAACACGTGAAATAAATACGTCTTTTTATTAAATTTCCACAATTTCCAGATACATATGTAGGAAGTACAAGATTATTACAATTTTTGAGCAAATAGTAGCTTATTGTGAATTAAAATTATGCATTAAATTTATTTTATTCATTCTTAAATCACGTGACACATTACATCGGCTTATCCCTCAATGTTAAAAGTAATAACATGGAATAATAGTCCGTAACGGGTTACATATCATGAAATTAAAATACCCCCAAAAAATCCAGTGATGTTGATAAATACTGATTTTTGTAAAACATAACTACATAATTACAAATTTGAAAATTAAGTCGTGGAAAAAATTTGAAAATAATTTTCCCGCTGTTTTATTTCCTCTCATCCGTAACGCGTTACGAACTAAAAATGCCCCCACCCCCCAAAAAAATTAATTCAGTGATGCTGATAAATACTGATTTTTACGATAAATAATTACAAATCAAATAAATCGGGAAGATTAAGTAAAGGAAATAATTTCCCGGTATTTTAATTTTTAAATTTTACTTCGTCCGTAACGCGTAACCAACTAAAAATGCCCCCCCCCCCAAAATTCAGTGATGCTGATAAATACTGATTTTTTAAAAATAACTTAAATAAATCATGCAAATTAAGTAGTGAAATAATTTTCCCGCTGTTTTATTTTTTAAATTTCCTTTCTCAGAATTTTCTGCGCCTCTTTAATAAGGGGCGCGAGCGTGGCGAGTGGCGCGCACTTGTGGAGGAACGGATGGCGCAGCAGGTCTCCAGCTGCCCAGCGCGTGTCCACATTGACCTGGAGACATTTGTCGAGAAAGTCTTGGAAGTCGGGGGTAAGTTTGGACAAGGACGGGATCTCGGGTCGCCCCGTAGTCGCGATTAGGTAAAGGGCGCGAAGCGGGGTCTCCTGTAAGTAAGGCGGCTCCCCGTCAATCATCTCGATCGCCATGATGCCCAACGACCAGACGTCCACTTTGGCGCCGTATTGTTTACGAGTTACGACCTGCAAATAAAAAATTTGCAAAAAATAAATTTTTGAAAACTTAAAAATTTAATGTACAAATTAGTTACAAAAAAATGCAAAATTTAACTGCAAAAATTAATTGTGGAAAAGACAGTTGGTACAACTAGGTAGAAAAATCAAATGGTGAAAAATTGTAAAAAAAAATAGTTGCAAAAATTATTTGGAAATGCATTTTGTACTACAAAAAATTCTCAGGCTTTTACAAAATTTGGTAAAGCGTAAAATCTGTAATTTTTATAAAGTTCACTTAAAAACATTTGGTTTTAAATGCATGCAAAATTTCTACAAAAATCCGAAGCAAATCTATCAAAAAACGATGAAAATCTGATTAAGAAAATCGATTAAGAAAATCTGACGTATTTTTAAAATAAAAATGCAACGCATTTTCCCAAACTTCAACCCCCAAAAAGGTGCTAAAAATCTGTCTTTTGAGTGGTTAAAATCATCCCTTCTGTTCAATTAGTGTCCCACATTTTGCCGACAATAATTGTTTTGTACGAGATTTAAGGAGAATTCGGAGCTTGGGTTTATTTCACCCCAACGACAGGCAAAGGCACTCGACTGCGAAGGATCCTCCAGAGATGGGCTAAATACTTTGTGAAAATGTATCCTGTTTAGAGTCTTTTCTTCCCAGGGTTTGGATTTCCGGGGCTGTTACACCCACAAAAAGTCGTAAATCCACGTGGGAAAGGCAGCAAAAATCCGGGTTTTCCGAAGAAATTGACTTTTCATCGATATAAAATTTACCTTAGTTTCACAATTTTCTTAAAATAAAGTGGGTCTCAAAAGGGAATTTCTTCTGAACTTGTGTAATTTCTTTAGACTCTGAATTTGTGCAGGTTATTAAATTTATACAAAAAACGAGAATGTGCATTCGTATGAAAAAAATACACATTTTGTGAAGAAATGGACTCGTAAAAATTCGTTTTTTCACAAATTCTTAAAAATGCAGTATTTTGATAGCGATAAAGTTAAAAATGCTAATTTTTTTGTCTTCTCGATGTAGATTTTGACCTTTATTTGCGCATAACACCTCCGGAAATGCAAACCCTGGGAAGAACCGGGGTAAAAATAGGGCAAACATTTTTTCTAAGTATTTAGCCCAGCTCTGGTTCCTCTCTCTGGAGGGGAGAGAATCTGCTGGTGTACATGGATGCGAAATAAATCATGGTTTTTGAGCGGATGGGTGAAATGTGATCCGATGTGAACAGGACTTTCCCCTCAAAGTCTTAGCGCTCTCGGGGAAATCGCATCACGACAAAGTCCCCCGGCCCAATTCACACCGCTCCCAAATTCGGACGGACGTCAGCAAACCCACATTTCACTCAAAACATATGCACACTCAGCAAGAGGAGGAGAAGAAGAAGAATTAAGTCAGTCGAGCGAAATTAATTCCTTTAATCGATGCTGAAAAATAGTTATGGGGAGAATTTCGATATAAGGCGTGTTCCAGAAATAACGTGACGAGGAAAAAAATACGGAAAGATTTTTTTTAACATGTGGCGCAAATGGGGGCATGGTTTTTGGAGGTGGGGAATTTTATAATTTTTTGGTACGGGATGAGGTATCATTTTCTCAGGGGAAATTTATTTGTATAAGGAGTGCTCTAGAATTTTGAAAAAACGGACAAAAATGTTCCAAAATGTAACGTACAAGACATGCAAAAACGTACGATAACGTACACTATCAATTTTTTAATACTGCGGAAAATTAACACGAGTATGGAGGCAATTTAAGTAGTCATTGGTAATTTTGTAAAATGGACACGTTTTGTACCATAATTTTACAACTTTTACAAATTAATGAGACACCCTTTACGAAAATGTGAAAGGTAATTTTTCTGAAAATATGGGAAAAGTTTTGTAAGATTTTTTAGGTTTGCGGAATTAACGGATTTTACAGTGAATGTGTGAATTGCGTCATCATTTTAGTGGGGGAAGAAATGTTGTTGGAGGTGGGGGATGTTATTACCACTGGGGAAATAAATTAGATTGGTTACCTCGGGGGCCATCCAGTACGGCGTTCCGACCATGGTTGACCGCTTTTCGTCGCCCTGGACGGAGGCACAGAATCCGAAATCCGTCACTTTCACCGAACCGTCCAGACCAAGGAGGACATTGTCCGATTTTATGTCACGGTGAATTATTCCCTGAGAAAAAATGGAATTTTTGTTAAATATTAACGAAAAATATGGGTAAATACAACAAATTCCGGAAAATTCCGAAACATAGATACAAATTTTACTACTTTTTTGCTAGTATAGAAAAAATGTATGGATTATTCCTTGCAATAAATAAAATTGGAAAATTTAGCAAAAAAATAAATAAAATACAAATGTAGATAAATTTCGAAAAATTGGAAACAACAGAGAGAGTGAAATTGTACCAATTTTTTAGCGAGTTAAAAAATATGTGGATTATTCTTTGGAAAAAATGGGGGAATTTAATTTTTTTTAAATTGAAAAGTATTAATAAAGGCATGAAAACTGTGTGAATTATTCACTTTAAAAAAGTTGAGAAATTTAAGAATACGAAAGGTTCTTTTTAAAAATAGAACAAATTCCTTAAATTGCTAAAAAATTGTACAAAGTTTTTGCACGTTGTGAAAATAAGTTTCTTTTCAGGCGAGAAATTGCATAACTTTTTACGCGACATCATCATCGTTACGTAATTTGTATCATTATTTAAATCTGTTATGCAATCGACGTCTTGTTAAAAGATTTCTATACACGTAAATATTAGATAACTTTGGAAATTGAATTTAGCAAGTCGAGTTTTTTGCAGGATTTCTATTTCGCATCGGATTTTGTACAACTATTTACTCTATTTTTATTTAAATCAAGACTAAAAAGTTATGTCGTTCCTGGATTTGGCAACATTTATTAGGAAAAGTTTACAAGTAGGTAGAGAGATAAATATGGAGCGTGCGTAAAGCACGGGACAGACTTTTGAAAGGCACGTGGATAAAATTGGAAATCCACGTGGTCAAATTTGAAATTGATGTAAAGATCAGGAAAAAATTAAGGTCAAAATTAAAAGAATCACATCACTTATTTCAGCCAGTTCAGCAGTTTGGAAAATAATATTGGGATTTGATTTTATGCGATTTTTGTGAAATAAGTATGTGATTATGGCGCAAAGGAGGACGCACCCTTCTTATGAGAAAATCCCCCCCCGTGATATTTGCCCCAAATTTTGATATGTTGTACACCTCGAGGTGCTTATCAAAAAATGTATTGGTCCCTAAGCCCTAAGTGACCTGGTTTGATCGGAAACCGAGGTCAAAGGTCAGTGCACTTTTTCCCTCGAAACCCCACAAACCGTATATTTTTGGAAAGCTACGGACCTCACGAGTCCGAATAAACACCATAATAGGGTCAAAGGTCAAGTCTTGACCTTTCGAGATCAAGCAAAAAGTTGCAAATGTGTGTTGCTGTTGCAACACAGTTGCACACACAACAGCCATAGAGTCGACTAAGCTTGTTGCCATGCACTCGGCTGACCGGAGTGCAGCGTCCGTAAGGTCCATAAACGGTCACCTTGCCCAAATAGCTGACCTCCAAAGGTCAAGGGTTGACCTTTGACCATATTATGGTGTATATTCGGACTCGTGAGGTCCGTAGCTTTCCAAAAATATACGGTTTGTGGGGTTTCGAGGGAAAAAGTGCACTGACCTTTGACCTCGGTTTCCGATCAAACCAGGTCACTTAGGGCTTAGGGACCAATACATTTTTTGATAAGCACCTCGAGGTGTACAACATATCAAAATTTGGGGCAAATATCACGGGGGGGGATTTTCTCATAAGAAGGGTGCGTCCACCTTGGTAACAACTCTGTTTAATATGTATGTATATGTTTTAGATTAAGAGTATTTTCAGATTCGGATTAGGCCCAAAATTCTGACCATTTTTATACATGAGTCGACCCTTTTTGACCAACTTTCACCTTTAAGATACATAGAAATGAAATGGAAATTAGAAATGTAGTGGCGTTACTTTTGAGTGGAGGAAGTCGATGGCTTGGAGGATTTCTTTGCAGACGGCGGCGATCTGCTCCTCCTTCATGATCGTCTCCGTCACCACGTCCGTCAACGGACCCCCGTGCAAAAGCTCCATTATCACCTGAAAATTTTTGAAAAATAAAAACACGGTAAAATAAAACCAAAACGTGACCTTTTTGACGTCTATACTTGAAGGAAAAATAGTATTTTGAAGTCAGATTTGCAAAAAAGATACTAAAAAAATGGGTAAAAAAATCTAAGTACATGAATAAGAAACCACATGGATAATTTCTAATGATGGCCGTGTTTCGTGAAGAAATTAAATCTTTGGAATTTTTGTTGGACCATTTTAATGTCTTCTTTTCTTGAAATGCAAACCTTGTGAGGTCAAAATGGGGTATTTTGTGGGGTAAAAGCTCACCCATAAGTGGTCATCGACGACGTAGGAGTCGAGGAAGTTGACGAGGTTTCTGTGGTTGAAATCCTTCATGACCTTGATCTCGTTGAGGATGAGCTCCTTCTTCGGCTGGCGGGACAGGTCGATCTCCTTGATCGCCACGCGGTCTCCCGTCAACTCGTCCAGCGCCGTGTACACCGTCCCAGAAGCGCTAAAGTGCAAATAGTTTTGTTTTATTGGGGTGCACGCGAAAAAATTTGGCATAGAAAATTATTTGGGTAAATTGCGAAACTCAAATAACTTTTTTGTTGTGAGGGGTGGATTCGCAAATCTCGAAAATCTACTAAAAATACGTATTTTTCTATGATGGGCGGACTCACAACAACGTCTTGTTTTGTATCGCAACTGATTTAGCAAAATCGCAAAAGGTATAATAATTTGGGTTGTGAAGGGGTTAGGAAATTTCTTAAAATATGATTTCGCAAAATATGATCTCTCAAATTTGGTAAATCTATTTGTAGAAACATCACGTATTTTAACTTCATTTCTATAAGTTTCTGAAATTTCTCTGGGAGGATGCGTTCGCGAAAAAACATGCACATTTGCCTGGTAAATTTGGAAAAAAATCATGGTTTCTGAGCAAAAGTTTAGTGAAATCTAGCAAATTTCGCAGTTATACTGAATTTGCGAAATATTTATGCGAAGGTTGGCCATTTGTGCAAAATATTTAGTCTGGATTTTATCTATAAATTTACCCCGATCCGACTTCTTTGCTTTTTTTGAACCGTTCCCGAGGGTTGGCTGGATTGCAAATTTTTCTCATTTCGAACATGACAGCTTCATCGGAGAGTCGGGAGCCGGGTTCGTTTTCCCGTTTGCGGAGGACCGTCGTCGTAGTGTCCACTTTCACTTGTTCCTTCGTCTTGGGTTCCCCGGCACGTTCGGAAACTGGGATTGGCTGAAAGAGATTGCAAATTAGTTTCATAAAAGGGTAAAATTTGCAAGGAATTTGTGCAAAAATATGGATTTTTTGCAGGATTTTAAAGGTTTTAAGGCAGAATTTGAAATTTTACTTGGAAATTTCAATTTTAACTCTTTTTTTCACTCATGAATATAAAAATTTCATATTAGGATTTTTTTAACAATTAGGATTGAAAAATGATTGGTGACAAAGCATGTGCAAATTTTGTTTCAGGATTTGAAAGAAAAATGACGGATTTCTTTTGTACTCGTGAGTACGAAAAAATTTGAAATTAAGATTTTTCGGGAATTTAAAAGGAAATCAGAGCTTTTTCAGTCAAATTCTTCATTTTGTTTAGAAAAATAACAGAATTTTGTGCATTTTAGTGTAAAACATGGAAAAAATTAAGGTAAAAATAGTAAACCACTGGTTTTTCTGTTTTATGAAAAAAAATTAGCAAAAATCTGTTAATTTTCTAGTGGTAAAATAAATATGAGACAAATTTGAGCGAGAGAGAGAGAAAAAGAGATGTGAATTTGCGTACCTGTTGATTTGCTCCGTGTTTAATATGCTCCGTGGTTTTCGGAGGAAGAGGAGGAATCGTGTCCGGAATGGTTTTATCATCTTAAGAAAATGCAAAAAAAGTATTAGGTTTTAGTATTTTTTTACAATGCAAGATTCCACATTTGATGTGGGACAGGTTTCTAATCTCAAACTACCCCACCCCAATTATAATTATTGATATGAAATACGGAACATGGTCCAAGTATTTCCTGCTTGTGCGGGGTTTGGCCATTGCAATTTTTGTAATTTATGACATTTTAATGTGACTCAATAAACTATTATATTATAATTCAATCTCTAGAACTGCAGATTTCTAAAATGCCATAAATTTCACGATTTTACAGATAAATGCGACTTTTTTCATACTTGTAAAAAGTCAAATTCGTTCCCCATTTTTTGTAACAAGTTTTCAATTTGACTCAATTTTGACTCAATTTTGCAAATTTTCAGTAAAAATATATATCGCTGAGGATAATTTTGGGCTGGAATTGGTAACCAGAAATTGCCTGAAATTCAAAGTGTGTCGAATTTTAGGAAATATTTACTACCAAAGTTTTCAATAGAAATCATTTTACGATGTTTGATTTATGTTTCTGAGATGAGGAGAAATAAATTCCGGCCCAACTTTTGAGAGACGATGGAGCAAGGTCTTAATTAAGGGGAGGATGATCTCTCTCCGTATTGCGAAACCACGGCATCTTAATTTCCGTTCCTTTGAAGGAATTAATTCCAATCGGGCTCAAGATGTTTGCAGATTTTCGAAGCACGGATTTTGTTTGTATGTATACATATTTTTCCAAAATATTGACAATTAAGCGTAAACTTGTCATTGGATAGGAATTTGGGAAGACAAATTGTGTAAATCTCTGTCACGTAGTTAGTAATACCAGAGGGTGGATATGTATTTATGAAAAATTGTATTAATTTTTAATAAAAAATGCAAAACTAAAATAAACAAGGATTTTTGCAAAAAATTTGCATTTTTGAGTATAATTTGTCCTAGATTTTTTGTGGTCGACTTCAAAATTGTCGCTCACCTTGTTGAAATATTTTTTTTTTAAATGTGCATACATTTTGACAAAATATGTGAAAGATGTAGGTATTTTTGAAAAAAAATATGGGAAATATTTTGAAATATTTATATTACTGAAAACTTACAAACATTTGACGATATGTAAAAAAAAGAATTGAAATTTATATGTTCGGCATGAAATGAAAAAGTTTAGCGTAAGTAAATACATAACCGCGCTCTGCTAGTTATCAACCGTAAATTTGAAAGCTATTAGTCAAATCCCCCTTCGCATATTAAAGGAGGAAGAAAATCACCCAACTTTGCAAATATGAAAACGTGCTTAATGCGAAAATATTGGCAATCCGGTCTCTCTCTTGGAGATTCATCAGGAATCTCTCGGAATTCAATTAGCGACACGAGACGACTTAGGAAATGATCACCTCTCTGATCAATCCTGCTTTCATGCAGGGGCCGCGGAAGATGTGGGGACAGAGGGGGACATTGTGGTGTAAGATGCGGACATTAAACTACCGATGTGGACAACATTGTCCGCACGCTTCCACGGCCAATGGAATTCTCCCTTTAAGTATGCATCCTCAGTGGCCGCGGAAGCGGTGGGGACATCGGGGGACGCTAAAATTGTAGGAAAGGGGAGGGACGGGTTTAAATATAAGATGATGGGACATCGAATACCCGTGGGGAGGACATTGTCCCCCGATGTCCCCACACTTCCTCCGCGGCCATTGCTTCCCTGGACTAAATCCTCTCTCCCCTTGATTTCCGTCCAGCTCAGCGGAGCTCATTATCCAAATAAATCAAGATCTTTGCTTTCGAGTTTCTGGAGAAGTTGAAAAGTTGCAAAATGTGAGCGCCATGCTTGCGAAATCTTTGATTTGACGCAGCCCAATTAAAATTTCGCGCTCTGTTGACTCCGATTCGATGGACTGGTCCAATTAAGCGAGTGGGGAAAACAAACAGCCTTTGAAAATGGTTGGAGAATTTCGTAGAGGGATATGGATTCCTTGATTAGACCGGAAGTGAAAGTCGTCCTGGTGGTGGGGACAGTGACCGCGGAAGTGTGGGGACAATGTCCCCACGGAAATTTTGTAGGGAGGAGATGCCACGTGTTCGTCCACGTGGTAGGGTCGGACTGAAGGGTGGGTTCGATTTACTGCGGGAAAACGGACCATAAAAATGGTTGAAAATTCTTCGAAACTTTGAAAATTTCCTGAAAATGTTTGGAAACTTCTTAAAAATGCTTGAAAAATAATAAAGACCGTATTCACGACAACGTCTTATTCCGCATCGCAACTCATTTAGGAAACTTAAAAAGCTCAAAAAATTTGTGGAAAATATGACTTCGCTAATCTCGCCAATCTGTTAAATAAAACCCCTATTTTACTACATTGTTTCCATGGATTTGCTTAAATAGAATGAGTTTGCGTAATAAGAGCATGCCGAATTGCTGACTAAATTTGCGAACAAAAAATCCAGCACACTTTTTGCGAAATTTGGCAAATGTCACAAATTATGTTGCTTATTCGTTCAATTTGCAAGATATGGCAAAGTTGACGTGAGTAAGTTTAATTTTTTTATAATGTTTTAAGATAATTGATTCAAATGTGCAATTCATTTTGTAAGAATCGGCTGGATTTTGCTTTTCCAAAATTTTCTACAATTTTCATGAAAACTTATCATTTTTAACTTTCAAGTTACATATGTCCCCACGAGGATTTTCCGCGGGGCCTGGTGGTCTGGATGGATGGTTGGCTGGATGGATATGTAAAAGGGAGAAGAAATTCGACTCTTCTGCCGTCCTTTCATCTCCGTCTGCTCATGTGATTCCTCACCAAAATCAATAATTTCTTCAAAATCTCCCAACCCCTCAAAAATCTGGGGGTGACCTTGACTTTTAAAGAGATGGGAGGGCTGGCAAAAAGAATATTTGCAAAAATTTACAGCTTAGTTTGCACTGTTTTTGCAATAGGGTGGATTTCTGGGGGTGCATCTCATTAGGCGAGAATTCTTGCAAAGTGGGGCAAAATAAAGAGACGGAGGAAGTTTAGAACAATTCGGGAGCTAATTTTCCTCGGAAATTTTGTAAAATTTTACAATGTTACCAAGGACTGCGTGAATTGTTATATTGTTTTTCTTAGGTGAGGCATAGTAACCATGAACACATGAAAAAGTGCATGGTTACGGCGAAGCCTTAGTATGCGAACAGACCCCCCCTCCCAAAATTCCACTCAAGATTGTGGCAAAACGGCTAATCGTATCAAAATGGTGTAAAAGGCAATCGTGCAGACCTTGCTGGGTAGATGATGCCCGTCAGGTCTAGAGACTTGACAATCTTATTTTAACCCATTTTAAATCGATTTTAAACTTTCAAACGACTGGCAAATTCACTTTTCCCATGCAAAGGTTGTGACTCGTCCATGTTTTAATGTGCGAAAATCTATAACCCGTCATTTAAAACAAACCCGAGCGAAATCGGAGAAGAAATGAAAAAGTTTTCTTGGTAGCATCTGCAGCCAGTTACGTTACTTGTAATGTTTCTTCATTACTTAACAAATACTCATTTCTATTAGCAACCAGCACAATAGAAACATGTAAGCTCTGCACTTACATATGCAAATATCTAAACATGTAAATATGTATGTACATGTATGAACTTTTAGAAATCCAGTATTGAATAACCTATCAGTACAGCTTTGCTTAGCCCGAACCAGGGTTGATTAGTAAACTCATGTTTGTCAGAATGTTGTACTATTTTTCACTAATTCTTGCATTAACTAGCGTAACTTGGTAGTATTGCTTGGCACCAAATACCACGAGCAGTGGAAGCTGTTCGTATAAAAATTTCGAAATTCAACCGTCCTAAATTCTAATCTAAGTTATTTTTTGACTCCTCACTAAATTTTAGCTGAATATATAAACTCTTAGAAATCGGTATGGGCACCCTTAGTGCCCCTCTGGTTACTTTTTGTTCATCTTTGACTTCATATAATTTCATGAGAAGCCATTAAGTATCACTGTTCCGAATTTCAACTTTTTGCGACAAGTTATGAAAATCGGTATGGGTCACCCCAACTGGTCCCGGCATGTGAAAATTTTACCAATTTTACTTCATATTCCATTAGGGGCCATTAGCAGCCTCTATACCAAATTTCAGCTCGATTGGACGATTTTGAAAAATCGGTATGGGTCACCCCCTCGGCCACCTCAGGTTGAATAATTTTCCAATTTCACTTCATATTATTTCATTTGGAGCCATTAGCAACCTCTGTACCAAATTTCAGCTTTATACGACCATTCTGAAATTTTGGTGCATCAAACCCCACCCACTCCGATGACACCCACCGGTCAACCACTTGACCGATTTGGCCCATCTTCGAACTCGTTTCCTAACTTTGTCCAATACACATGTGGTAAAAATTTCAAGTCAATCGGTCAACTCGTTCGCGAGCTATCGAAAGACAGACGGATAGACAGACAGACGGACATGACAATTACATAAGCCCTAGTTCGGGCTAAAAAGTACCAAACGGTATTCAGAAATGACTACAAAAATGGTACTCATAACTAATGCTCTGACGTAATCATGTTTCGTTTTCTCCCATGTGAGAAAAATTTCAATGTGAAAATGCAAATTCTCTTTCACGTTTTCCATTATAACTTTGTTTAAATTGAGCATTACGAAAAATCCTGAAACACGTGTTTAATCATTTATCTAAGGATACATAATTATCGTGTTTTCGTCAAAATCGGAGCTAGACCGTTGGAGTCATCGTATTGCAAGCAATAGGTACCACTGAGAATTCAATTATACCAGATTTCTAAGTGTGTGCATGTACAAAATACATATATGTATGATGTTGATGCATTTCTTGCCTATTAATCCACGGGTGACAGGGGAATTTAATTTGGTGTTCCACGCATCTACACCAATTGGAAAATTAATTGCAGATTATGCAACGCATCCAGGCTAATGAGGATTTAATTTGGTATCTATTATTGATGGCAACTTAAAGAGACTTAAAAACAAAAAATAAACTAATTCTTTAAAAAAAACTTAGGTGAGGCTTGCTTAAAAGGGGGAAACAAGAGGTTATCATCGTGTAGTAAAATAATATGCTACATCAATGTTCATCTCATGATTTATAATTTAAGGTGAATACAACAACAAATTATATGCGTTTCGGACCATTTGCCTCGCCGTGGGCCATTTTATGATTCAAATAGTTAGAATAACTTGAAAATTTATTAACGCTCAGTGCATTTGATACACATATGCAGTAATAATTCATATGAAACGATATAGGATTTAGTTAGATAATTTCGTTATCCATAATCTATTGATGATGTAATGTACGAGGTTTGAGTTAGTTTGCAATATGAAATATTATATTTCAGAACACTAAATTTTAAAAACTTCGACCTATCTTTGAAATATATTCATGTAGGCCATCAAGTATAAGCAGAATCGAATAGTAACGAAGATTGCAACTTATGTATATTTAGGTACAACCATCAATATGGTGCACATACTATATATATACATACATGTATTTGTATGGAACAATTAATCAGGCCCACGGCGAGGCAAATGGTCCGAAACGCATATAATTTGTTGTTGTATTCACCTTAAATTATAAATCATGAGATGAACATTGATGTAGCATATTATTTTACTACACGATGATAACCTCTTGTTTCCCCCTTTTAAGCAAGCCTCACCTAAGTTTTTTTTAAAGAATTAGTTTATAATATCAGAGAAAACTTGTTTTTAGAAAACTTGTGCATATTTTGTGTCGTACTTTGCATGAAAATTGTTGACGAAATGCTCGAATAAGCTGAAAATACTGGATTTTTTTACCACTTTTAGTATATACCTTCACCACCACGTCTGGATGGATTACTGTATCGAGAAAGTGTGCGAAATTAATTGGCAATGCGAAATATGAGGATGATGATCGCTCTACCGTTTAAAAAAAGTGGGGCTGGCGAGCGTGCTCTTTAATAATGGGGAGGACGAGAGGAATATCTATGAACCAGGGTGATTTTTGTGTCTACCTGTCTCCTCCAGATTTAAGGGGCCGTGCATAAAGGATTTTGATGGATATACGCCATTTTATAATTTGCATAGGAAGGATAGGATCCCTTGACCCTTACGCCCCCCCCCCCCCCTCAAATGGATGACAGGCTTTCTGCGAACTACACCAGAAGAAGAGAGATAGAGAGAGATGTAGAGGTAGACCTACACCCTTAGAAATCCAGTATTAATTTAACACCAAGGGGTATTGATATATGTATGTATGACTCTACCAGAGTGGTATTGAGTAATACTACCCTGTAGTAATACATATGTACATAGCTCGGTAATAAAATTGTGCCAGTTCCGTAGCAGAGTTTTATAATCCTGTATAATTGAAGTCATACCTGTTCACTTTCATTCATTCGAGCGATTATGATGGTGAGTGAGAGTGAATGAAAATGATTTTCCTGTGATTTGAGTGAAAATGAGTGAAAGATTCAGTCATTTGAGATGAATGACTGTGAATGAAAGATTTCTCATTTCATTTTTCACCCTATGTTTAATACATGGGGCGAAGTAAGAAATGAAGTCAGATGAAGTGAAATGAAATGAATTTGGACGAAAATGACTGAATTTGAATGAAAATCCAGAAATGAGGATGACTGACTTTTGAATGAAAACAATTTTTTTGAACAGGTATAATAGAAGTATTTGCCAAACCAAGCGGTACGAAGTTTAATACGGAGAAATGAATGGGTGATTTTTAAGAGTGCGTCTTTTGGTGTCGGGTGCAGGCGGTCTGGCTGGGGGAAGGTACGTACATAGGTAAATATGACGAGCTACCTGTGGAGCGGATCGAGAGCCGACGGGAATGCTTTCTCCTCAAGAGAAAGTCAGTTCTATTATTATCCCAGATCTCTCTCTTTCCTCCGTATGCAGATGGGAATTGGATAACCTTGAGAAATCTCGACTTTCGCTCCCTCCTCCTTCAGGCCATACCTCGCCTTTCATTTGCATATCCAACACCCCATCATTATTATCATCCTATAACGAGAATAGACTTGCAAATATGGCTATAAATACAGAGAGAAAGAGAAAGAGAGGGTCCTCCCCCAGGAGAAAACGTTGCTCAGAAACTTATGAATGCGCTAAATCCGCCCAAATTTTGGGACACGTGGTGTGGTCCTTTTTAATTCGATACCTGTGCAATTATGCAATACTATCAGCCCTTCACCACCACATTTGCATATCCAGAGATGTCCAGAAAACTTTGCTCAGAAACTTTGGAAAGGAATGAATGAGCTAAATCTGCCCAATTTTGGGACACGTGGTCCTTTTTTAATTCAATACCTGTGGAATTATGCAATACAAGGCTATATTTACATATGTGCACCTGCATTCACCATCATAAACATTTACATATGTAACACCCCATCATTAACTTTTTTATACAATTAATCTATAAATACGAGGAGAGAGATTACTAAGAAACTTTTCTCGGAAACTTTGCAGGAAATTTTGGTTGGGAAGAATTTTTACGAGGCGTGGCCCTTAATTCTTAACTCGATACCTGAGCAATTATTTAACAAATAAGGACCGAAATAAATTTACATTTTGGACTTGAACCATTATTATGCGACAACTTATCATAAATGGAATAGATAACCCCTCGGATCTCTCGGAAACTTTGCCCAGAAAGTGGAATTTCGCCGGAAATTTATATGTACGAACCTAGTGCATGTTGGATGGCGTTGGACTCGGCCTCGATCTGGTCCTTGGTCATCGGGGCCTTGAAGTGCTGCTGCTGCTGGATGTAGTGAAACGCCTTCAACGCCTGCACCGCCACGATCGGGTTCTTCTTCACGTCGTCCGCACTGCAAAAATGGACAAAAAATATAAATTGGCAAATAAGGGAATAGATAAATTGGCAAATTTATGTATGTCCGAGGTCGACCCCAGTAAAATATTACGTGTGCATAGCCACGGCCGATAAATTTGATTACGTATTCATTAAAGATTCTGACGCCTTGTCAAAAATTGGTAAAATTGACGCCGACTGTGCCCAAAAATCACCAAGATTGACGCGAATGATGCTAAAAAATCACCTAAATTGGCGCAGCCGCTGATAAATCTGATTAAATATTCGTGCAATATTGTCACGTGCCCCCAAAAATTGCCAAAATTGGTGCCGACGCTGCCAAAAAATCGGCACGATTGGCACCTCCTCCTATAAATCTGATTACATATTCGCTCAATATTGCGACGCCTCGTCGCGCCGCCAAAAAAAACGTCACCCTTGGCTCCGTCAAATTGTCGACCTCAGATTTATTGGGTCTAGCGCAGCTCGTCGAAAACGTTTTCGTCGAAAGGAGAACTCGTCGACCACGACTCGTCTGAAGGGCAACTCGTCGTAAGAAGAAGCGGTTGAAAACAATGTTTTTTAATTCGACGAGTTCTCCATTCGACAAGTTGATTTCGACGAGTAGTCCGTTCGACGACAGTGGATTCGACGAGTTACCCGTAACCTACCCGAGTTCTTTGTTGAGGAGGCGCATCCATGGTTCCGGGAGTCCGATGTACTCTCCCGTTTTGGAGTCGACCTCGACGTGGACGTTCTGCTTGACGTTCGTGGGCGCCCCGATGTTGATCTCCTCCCCAGAACGACGACCAAACGCCTCCTTCATCTTCTTCAACAGAGACATTTTCGATTTCTAAAAAAAACAAGAAATTTATTAAGATTTCTGACCCAGTTTTAGCCTGAAAACTGACGACTTTTGTACAAAAGAGAAACACAAAATTAGATATGTTCGGTACCTCATTTGTATTCTGCATTTATCCAAATTGTGTGAATTTTTTTGTACACTGACAAAAATTTGGACTTTGTGGCTAAAAAGAAAATTTGGTAGAAAATTTTGCCCCAAAATGAATTATGATGGGAGTAAATCAAGTGTTTTTTAGCAAAATAAAATATATAAGTATGTAAATAAGTAAAAAAAATTATTTGATTAAGTGCAAAAAAAATTGTACAAAATTCTGGGGAACTTTTTTGTACAAAAATCGGTGGACAAAAATGTGGTGGATTTTTTTTGTACGGAAAACTTTGAGGGTTTTTCTTTTGAAGAATGTTTTTTTGGAAATTTTTAGAGCCTCACCTTAAAAAATAGAGTTGCGTAATGTGAGTTTATCCTTATTTACGCGTCATCCAACGAACTCAGGACAATGACAGCCTCATTCTGTATCTCATTCTGTATTTTATGCTAATTCACTCAGGATTTATTTACAAACAGTAAAACACAAAAGGTATTGTGGGTCGGAGAAATTTTTATAATTTCACATCCGGGTATGAAAAATCCATCCAAGTCCACCGCACCCACGAAAAGCCCTAAAAAGTACGGAAACTTGTTTAAAATGGGGTAAAAATGGGTTAATTATGCTAAATTTTATTTTTTATTCCTAAATTCAGAATAATTAATAAATTTTGTAAGGTAAAAATGTAATTAATTTAAAATTAAATCGGTTAATTACATATATTTCATTACTACAGAATAAGTAGTGAATTTCGTAACGTCAAAAAATGAAAACTTATTAAAAATGGGGTAAAAATCGATTACTTATTTACTTAATTTCTATTACTCACAAATTTAAATTAGCGAATCTTGTAAAGTAAAAAAAAAGAATTGGTACTTCTTAAAAAATCGGGTTAAAATCGGTTATTACTTAATTCCCAGTGCAGAATTGTTCTCGAGACGTTAAGAAAATGGAAACTTATTTAAAACTCGTTTACGTGTTTTTACTGCTAATTTGTGAATCTTGTAATGTCAAAAAAATGGTGTAAAAATCGGTTAATTACTCAATTTTAGTGGATTTCTTGACGTCAAAAAAATATTGTGACACTTTTTTCCTCCACTTTTTTTGCACTGAACTTTTTACACCAGCAGTTAATAGTTGGCTGGAGGAATTAATTATGGTCAATTAATGTCGGGTGTAGCGATAAGTGGAAGGAAATATGGATACGATGAAGTAATTAATGTGCATTTATTGTAATGTACGTGTGATACATAAATATGTAAATGAGTGTAATCAAAGTATACTAAAGTGGTGTTGGATTGGTTGGTCATGCATTCCAGGCTTATCTCACTAACTTACATATGCAAACCAAACCACGCATCGTACACATATGTACTCACAAATAAGATAAGGGGCGCAGGGCGGATATGTATTTAGGAAATATTTAGGGGAAAAATAAGATTTTTCGACGATATATATTTTTATTAGACGAAAAATCGTTGAAATGTATGTACATATTTTATATTTATACGAAAAGAATGCCAGAGTATTTACGAAAAATAAGAATTTTCGGAAAATTTTCGATTTTGAGTATTTACGAAAAATCGCAGAATATTTGCGTTTTTGAATATTTATAACGCTATTTGGTACAATTTCTTCGAATTTCGTCTCTAACATCGTTGAAATATTTACAGAATATGTATTTTATAAATATATATAATTTGAAAAAAAATATGTTAAAAAGATTACGTATTTTTGAAATATTAGGGGAAATTTTTATAGGTCTGAAACTCTAGAAATATGTGACAATGTGTCAAAAAAATATTGAAATTTTTCCGTTGGTTAGATTAGTATTAATATTAGAAAAGTTTCGAATGAATGGATGGATGGGTATCCGTCCTCTGATAATAAGTTATTGTGCTGGTCTTATCATCATCACCCGATTTTTCAGTCAATTGAGTGAATAATAGTTGTGGATAAATAAAATAAGTAGAATAATAATCATTCAGTACCACCACTCAAGTCAGTTACCACATTAGCAGAGGACGGATATGTATTTATTTTCGATTTTTTCGTTTGCTTTCGACCGACGGTCAAACATTCTCTAATATATAGATGACACAAAATATCCCAAAATATTTTTACATATTGACACATATTTCTAGGTTTTCAGACTTATGAATATTTCAAAAATACGTAAATCTTTTACTCATGTTTTGCAAAAATACATATATTTTATCAGTATTTCAACGATGTGAGACTATTGTTTCCCTCCAAGATCACAAAAATCTAGAGAATTATATTAAAATTAAAACTTTTTGGGAAAATTCTTATTCCCTATTCTGATTTTTTCATAAATATTTTGGCTTTTTTTCTAAATATTTCAGCGATTTTGGTAACTAAATACATACATAACCGATCTGTGTACATTAACTATTTCTGTATGATGCTGATTTATGTATCGGGCAGGATATGTACATATGCGACTCTTGTACCTATCTTTATGTAAATAGTGAACTTGTGCCGCTTGAGTAAATAGTTTTACTTTTTGCTAATTACAATTAACTAACGGAGGTATACATAAATAGGTATCCTCTATGTATGGCAAACCTTATTGTAACCAACCCATACCCTCTCGTTGTTGCCGTTTTTATACAGAACAACCCAGTGTTTCGTTTCTTGTGGTTTTGCTACATTTCTTGCACTGGAAAGCAAGAAATGCGTGGTGCAAGAAACTGGGAGAAAGTGCAAGAAATATGCGTCACTAGCCACGTGCTGTTACAGCGATGGTTCCCCTACAAGAAACCACTTTCTCCCCGTTATTTCTTGCAACTGGTTGCAACCATAAAGAAACCGAACCACAATAAATTATTATTTTCAGGGTTTTTACTTATACTTACGCGACAACGGTGTGAATAATTTCCGGTGGACGAAAAAGGGAACAAATTTCTAAATTTATGTAGTTCACTCAAGATTAAATAGTTTTTGAGAGATGCAGTTGCCGGTAAATGGATATGTAATTGTTTTCATTGTGCGGAAAATGTGTTGTCAGTCAGTCCGTGCTGGCTGACACATTTTCCGTCATCATCATCGTGTGTAATCGTAAAGAACGTAATGATTATTATGACCAGAGGGCGGATATGTATTTGGGAAAAATGGGTGAAAAAATGTGTAGTAAATATTCACAGAAAAAGTAATATGTCCACGAAATGCATATCTTCGAAAAAAGAACATAAAAATAAGAACCACAAAAATTTACATTTTTGAATGTGGATTTTTTATAATCAAATTTCTTTAAGCAAAAAAAATCGTGTCACATCAAATCGTTGAAATATTTAGAAACTATAGTATGCATTTTTGGAAAATATGTATGTAACAGATTTACATACTTTGGAAAAAAACATGTAAAAGACGCATATATTTTTTTAAATAATAAGGAACATAGTTATATGTTCGAAAACGTAGAAATATGTGGAAATATTTTGAAATTTTTGTGAATCATGCGAGTTAGGGAACTACCTACGGATAAAGTTTGACCGTGGGACGTCAAGTTGAAATTAAATATATATCCGCGCTCTGCTAATTTAATGGGGACTCCTCCCTCACTCCCCTCATCTTGCTCCATGCACACATAATTAATTACACTTTTAACCCACCCCAACGAAATGAGTGTGCATCTCATGTGCAGCGGGGAGACCCTGCGCCAAGGATGTGGTCCATTTTGTGAGGCCAACTTCTTACAGGGGTCATGACCTCCAGGGGTGACCCTTAGTCCCATGAGATTCCTGAACCATTCGCCCAAGTCCATCGCATAGCATGCTTTATGCGGGGTCCTTTAAAGTACAAAATGGTGCATTTCCGTCCGCCGTCATGAAATTGTGCACATAATAAGAGCAGCCTAAACAAATGTATTGGCTGGATTGGATTTTCATGAAAACCCGTATGCAAAAATATTCATGTGATTCAGCTCAAAAAATGTGAATCATATTTAAAATTCCATAAAAAATAGATGCGTTTCCCAAAGAGAGATATTCTTCTTAGAAAATTGCTGCCTCATAATTTTAGTCATCTTAAAAAAATCGCGAAAATATTTTTTTTTAATCGTAACAGAAATATTAAATTACAGTAAATTTCGAGAAATTTCAATCCGGAAAATTCCTCTGTTATGAATCTGCATAAATAAATAAATAAATCACGTGTAAATATGTGTATCGGTCGAGGAGATGCTTAATAATTATGACTTGAACTTGTAAACTTTGTAGATTTTTGTATGTATGTATTGCATTCATTCATAATAATGGAGCATTGTTACAATAAAAATATAGAATTTTGTTTGGGAAGCTGCTTCTCTTATTTTTTTTTCTTTGGTGCATTTTTTAAATTATTGAGCCAATTCACGTCAGCTTTCGTAACCCCGTAAAGTTTTCTAATTCTAAGATCTGCAGGGAAAAACATGGGTTTTATCTGTAGCTAACTTTTTTTAGTAAAATCGTAGACAAAAATTACCCTAGAAGTTGGTCAAAAGTTTTTTGGTAAGTTTATAAGGTTACGAAGAAAGCTGACGTGAACGGTGTCGATATATTTTTGACCCGGCAGAAGAGAGGAGTAAAGTCAAACGTAGTAAATAAATACGTGGAGTGAATTTCTGTTTGGAAGAAGAGACGAGAATACTTTGCTGGAGAAGAATTTGGTGGGGGTGTGGTCACATGATGATTTGTGGTTCTGGGACGGAGGCAGAGATGGCTTTGTGTGGGAGGACTTTTCCGCCGTTGATGTACACCTCGTCCGACACGATGACGTCCTCCCCCAACACCGTCACGTTCTCCATCCGCACCCACTTCCCGATCACGCAGTTCCAACTAAAAAGTAGACAGAATTAGTTCCGGTTTCTTTGCGAATTTGCGAATTTCATAGTTAAAAATTCTAATGACGACATCTTATTTGGAAATTTAGTAAGTTCAAAATTTTGCGATTTGCAAAATGTTGATTAAAAAAACAATCTTTTTATCCTATTTTGACTCAGTTTCTACGAAATTTTCTATACTTTTTATGGAGAAGATGTGTTTGCGAAATAGAAAAACGTTGGGTAAATTTGGGAATAAAAAATTTCGGAAAATTTGGCAAGTTGGGTTGTTCTGCTGAATTTGGGAAGATTATTGTACGCCAAATATGTAATTGTCAGTAATTGGTTAAAATGTAACTTACCCAACGATGGAGGAATCGAGCCAAGAATGTGACTTGATTTTGGACCCCTTCATAATTGTTGATCTCTTGATGCAAACGCCCTCCTCGATTATCACGTCTGGTCCGATCGTCACGTTCGGACCGATCCGACAGTTCGGCCCGATCTTTGCGGTAGGGTCCTGCACATTAAGAAGTACACAATAATTACTTTCCATACTCATGAGGATGAACTAAGAATGGAGCTCTCTCTCAGCGTACGCTCTCCAATTTTGGCGAATTTAGTGCCGATCGCTGTACAATTTAATTAGTAGTAGGAAATTTGCGAAACACGCGATCTCCCAATGGGCACGTTTGGCAGTGATATTTGCATCCGAAGAGGAGAAAACGCTCAGTAAAGTTGGAAAGTGTAAAATTTTGTAAACTTTACTGCGCGTTTTCTCCTCTTGGGATGCAAATATCACTGCCAAACGTGCCCATTGGGAGATCGCGTCTTTCGCAAATTTCATACTATTTAAATCTGTAATCGATTGATACTAATTTCGCCAAAATCTGAGAGCGTACGCTGAAAGAGAGCTCCATTTTTAGTAGAAAAGTATGACTTTTCCATAAATATGTTTTTCTGGGGGGGATGATGAGCTTACGACGAGGACGTTGCCGACGATGCCGTCGCCGGTAGCGAGTTTTGCGCCCTTTGCTTTGAGGGAGGTGAGGTGGAGGCACATGCCGACGAGGAAGTCTTTGGGCTGGCCGATGTCCATCCAGTAGCCTTGCAGCTCGAAGGCGTACAAGTTCCCAGAGTCCGCCATCGCAGGGAAGATCTCCTTCTCGATCGAGGTCGGCTTCACCTAAGGGGTCAAGGGTCAGTCATTATTTGATACGTACTTATTTTGATTCTGAATTTTGTGCCTGTCGTGGATCCATAATTTAAATAGATTACTAAAATTCATAATACTTTTCGTAAATATTTGTGTAACTTTTATCAAAAATATATAAATTTTGTTAATATTTCTACTAAAAAAGGGAAAGATTTTGAACACTAAATTTGGTGAAACAATTCCTATCTTTTCGTAAACATTTTATCGTTTTTGTAGAAAATAAAGATCAAATGTCCACCATTTTTCATACTTTACAAAATATTTTGGCTATTGTTTCTACGAAAAGTAGATACATTATTTTCCTAAACATATTTTTCAGAAATATTAAAAGCAAGTTTCCATCACTTTTCGGAAACTTTCAGAAAAAAACTGACCTCAATCCTGTCCAAAATGGAGGGATTGAAAATATACATCCCCGCATTGATCTTATTGGACACGAATTCTTGTGGTTTTTCGACGAAGCGTTGAATCATTCCGTCCTCGGCGCAGACGACGACGCCATATTTCGACGGCTCCTCCACCCTCGTCACGACGATGGTGCCCTCCTTCCCGTGCCCCTTGTGGAACTGGACCATCTCCTTGAACGGAAACTCGCACGTGATGTCGGCATTCAGTACGAAAAAGGGTTCCGGATTGGAGGACAGGATCTCCCGGGCGAGCGCTAAAGGTCCCGCGGTCCCGAGGGGTTCCGTCTCGTGCGAAAATATCAGAGTGATTCCGACCTAGGTGGAAAAAATAGGGGTTTTTGAACCTTTTTTTATAAAAATTTGACCACGTGGGTAGAAAATTGGGCGATTTTTTCCCAGGAATTTGACCTCTCACAATGGACGTCGACCAGTGTATGGTCTCTGATTTTTAGCAAAATTGTGTTAATTGATGGGGAATTTAATTAGTATGAAAGGTTGCAAAAGACGAGATCTCCAAATGGGCTCGTTTCGCAGAGATATTTGCATCCGAAGAGGAGAAAAGGTGGATTGAGGACCTCAATTTGAGGTTGACAAATTCTGTACACTTTGCAAATTTACTGTACGATTTTTTCTCTTAGGATGCAAATATCTGCGCCAAACGTGCCCTTTGTGAGATCGTGTCTTTTGCAAATTTTTGCAAATTTCATACTAATTAAATTTGTAATCGGTTGACACTAATTTGCTCAAAAATCTGGGAGTGGTCGAGGTGACTGACCTTTTCCGCGTACGAGCTGAGTTCTTGTTCCATCTCTTGGGCGCGGTAGGACACGGCGAGGACGACCTGCGTCACGCCCGCCGCCACCAAAGCGTCCAGCTGATGGACGAGGATCGGTTTGTTGGCAAATTCGACGAGGGGCTTGGGTCGGAAGAGGGTCAAAGGTCGGAGACGTGTCCCGTACCCACCCACAAGAATTAACGCCTTCATGTTCCCGATGCTGGACGACTCTGAAATGGAAATTATTAATTAATTAATTGATTTAATTAAATTAATAATAATCCCAGTTAATTAGTTAATAGTGCACGACACAAAACAACACGAGCCATGTAGTAATGTAGGCTCATGACCAAAATCGTCAGAATTGACACGTTTTTAATCATTTCTTCTCCGCTCTTCGAATTTATATTTTAAAATTCTGACCGACAAATTTGTAGAGCAGGGAGAATTCAATTTTTTGAAAATATACACTCCAGATTTTGATAATTTTTGGCGGAGAAGATTTCAAGTTTAAGAAACCTTCAGAAAAATTGTAACTTATCGAAACCGGCTTAAAAAACTCAGCGCTATTCCATCAATCAACTCACTGAGGACAAATTCGTCGTCCAGAATTTTAAAATAAGTTCCCAGAGGAGAAGAAATGATTAAAAATGTGCTGATTTTGACGATGTGTCATCCAGTTCTACATTAATTAATTAAATCCTCTCCTCCCCAGTTAATTAATTAATACATATGACACACACATCAACAAATTACCATGCATTACATACCAAATTACAAAAACTTACCGGAACTCTTCATCTCGAAGTTGGAATGTCAAACGGGGTGGTAAAAAAAACTTGGAACTATTTTCTTCTCCTCGCAATTTTAATGTAAAAGTGACGTGACGAAAAGCGGATTTTGCAACCTCAACCAGATAACAAACACAGGCAAGAAGATTAATAATTCATTCAACACGAGGGAAAAAAAACGTGCAAAAATTCACATAAAACCCGACCCCCACACGATTTGGCAAACTAAGAAAGAATCAAAAGAGTAAATTAGTCCGAAATCACACCGGTTTTTAATTGTATTTATTAGTTTAGAGTTATTTCTCATAAACAGAGCTTATCAATCCATCGATACTCACCTGTTCGCTAGTCACTTATCTGTCTTCTTATCAAGTGGGATGAGACGACGAGGCTTGGAAACTAAGAAAGAGTTTTATTAAAATAATCACACCGGTTTTTTTAGTGAAGAAATAGTTTGCACTTATTTCTCATCAGCAGAGCTTATCGATCGATACTCACCTTTTCGCTCGCTCGTCACTCACTTATCTGTCTTCTTATCAAGTGGGACGGGAGGGATGACGACGGTGACGACGACAGCAGGAGGATTGACGACAATTAACAAAATGTGATGACGAGTTGGCTGAGCTGAGCTGTCAGGAGAGAATTTTTTAAAGGCAGCCTTTTCCCGCAGAGACGGGGAGGCGAGGGCTGTCCATATACGGTGTGGGGGGAAGGAGGGGGATTATTTGGGGGGTGTGGTCCTCTGGGGAATGAGGGGGATTTATGACGAGAAAAAAGTCCGGGGTGAATGACCCCATTAAAAATTTACTCTATGGTGTGAGACGCTGTATCGTGGAGAAAAATGTTGGGCGTAGGCACGTCAAATTTTAATTGCTGATGGGAATTATACGTTTTTTTTGGTAAATTTGCAACTCGTGCAGAAAAGTATGGGGCGTCTTCATGCCAAATTTTATTTTGGGAAGTTTGCCAGATTTCGCAAAACTTTTAATAGAAAATTAAGGGATTTGCCACATTTACTACTCATGCATGCAGAAAATAATTGGGCATATGCATGTCAAATTTTACTAAATTTGCGAGATTTCGTAAAATTTTGAGGGAATTTTTGTCCCTAAATTATGGATGGCCATGTTTTAATTTCGTAAAATTAATAATTGCCAATTGGATGACATTAATAACTACCTTAATTTGACATTATATACATAATAACTTTTAAATTCTCTTGGAAACAAAAAGGTTAAAAATTCGGTACAAAATTGACAGTATTTTTTGGTGGAGAAGAAGAAAATGTGTGTGCACAGGAGTGCGGTTGGAGAGGAGAAAGTGGAAAATGTGTTGTCTACAAGTCGTAATCATTTTATCCCAACGGCCAACAAACGGGGAAAAGGAGAACAATGCCATAATCGCCATACTCTTGCTTTCACCCACAATGTCCAGCCAATTTCTCTCCAAGCTACTTTCTCCCAAGCGCCGCGGTGGCAAAGCGCCCCCATATTCGCTATATACTCCTTTCACTCATAATCTCTCAACTTTCTCCGAAGAGCCCCGGTGGCGAAGCGCATCCAAGAAGATGCTGCTTTTACCCATCTCTGTTCAACTTTCTCCTAAGCGTCCCCAGTAATTTCTACTTCTGCGGCTTTTACCCACCATTTCCTTCCAACAATGTGATGACGTGAGCGGTCTCGCTCCGATTTTGACGAAACCACGATAATTATGCAGCCTTAGATAAATAATTGAACACGTGTTTCAGGATTTTTTTTCATAATGCTCAGTTTGAACAAAGTTCGTAACAAAATTCGTAAGCATTTTCACCCTCACGAGAAAAATTTCAGGGTAAAAATGAGGATTGAAATCGGGTCAAAATTGGAACAGCATTTTGAAAAATTCTGAAGCACGTGTTCAATTATTTATCAAAGGTTACATAATTATCGTGGTTTCGTGAAAATCCGAGCGAAACCGCTTGCGTCATCGCGTTGTAAGTATGAATTTATCCTACCCCAAAAAAGTGACCATCTGAGTCATTTCCGAACCGATTTTGATGAAATTTTGCTTCGATCATTGTTACATAATTTAGAAACGAAATCTGGTCCGACTTAGCGAATGCTTGATTTTTACGCGAGCTATAGGCTAAAATCAGGGTTCGGAAAAATCCAGGGTTTTACTAAAAAAAGAAAGAACAACCAATGGGTTTTTTGGGTTTTAATAGGTTTTGGGTAATAAACCCAATAAAAAATCCTAATATTGAAAATCTACTTTAATAACCTAACCATGTACAAATCCTCCTTGTCCATATTATAAGTTGCATCGGTTCAGAAATTCATTTTTTGTAGCACTGGATGGTATAAGGGCATCGCTAGTGCAATGCATAAATTCATATAAATAAAATATATAAAAAACTCTTAAATAATTGCAAACAAAACTCATCACCTGTTTGAATTTCGACTCAAAAATTTCTAACAATGCGATGACACCAGCGGTCTCGCTCCGATTTTGATGAAGCTTCGATAATTATGTCGCCCTAGATAAATAATTAAACACGTGTTTCGGGATTTTTCATAATGCTCACTTTAAACAAAGTTATGATGGTATAAGTGGCCGAAAATTCGCATTTTTCTCCCTCAAAAACAAAAAATAACTTCACTAGAAGAATGCGAATTTTCGGCTACTTATACCATCATAACTTTGTTTAAAGTGAGCATTATGAAAAATACTGAAACACGTGTTCAATTATTTACCTAAGGCTACATAATTATCGAAGTTTCATCAAAATCGGAGCGAGACCGCTGGCGTCTTCGCATTGTAAGACTTCCTTTTTTTGGGACCTTGTTTATATATTCATTTTTTCAGAATTTCGGATAATTTTATTTTCAACTTTACCATAAAATTCTGAACGCTTTACAACACTCAAAACACAAGTATGTAAATTTTTAAGGTTAATTTTAGGTTAAATTAAGATTGGAAATATTTTTGATAGTCTGAAACACAGTAAAATTTCCCATCCTTATTGTAATGAGTTCGTAATTGTACTCCGCATTTACAACATACGAAACACTCGTGATGCCAGGTTGCTCCTTTTACGGTGGTGTACTGCCAATAGATAAGAGAAAAGTATTCAATGAAATGCGTGGGCAAAAACCTCGTATTACTCGTCACAAACGGTGTGCATGATATGTGACTTAACTACCAGGAAATAATGTTTCTCATCTAATGGTAATAAAATTAACTTTAGCCAGTAACAATTTGTGATAGATTTATCACTACTTGGTGAAGTCACATATGCGCACCGTTCAGTGACCGGGCTTTTATCAACAAGTCGACCATTACAAAAATTCGAGGGTAGCACAAACTATAAACTCTGTTTCACCTTGAGTGATGGGCAAGGAATATGAGAATCCCATGTTAATTCGTGTGGCTGTAAGATCACTCAAGCTGAAACGGAGTTTAGTCACATAGATCTCCGATCACAGATTTTTCTTACTAGGGATACTTTCGAGGTGATAGTCGTGTCCAGGGTACCCACTATGTTTTTTAGAATCTACTAGGACCCCAGATGAAGGATACATTCTTATTTCCTTGTAAAACTCATATTTGGCGCCGTAGCGTGGCGCCAAACTTAAAAATCTGGATTTTCGACCAATTTCAAACTTATAGCTTTTGAAGTTTCCGTGGGATTTTCAAAATTTTACGTTTAAAATGATCACAAAAGTTTAAATTTTAAGAACAAAATGAAAAACAAAAACTGTTTTATTTTTGAGTTATTTTGACGATTTTTCAACGAATCCCCATGTTTAGGATAATTCTGAAATTTTACAAAAATTTGAAAATTTTCGTTATTTCAAAAACATCATGGAAATCTATAGTTGAACACTTTGTGATGATTTTGGCCAAATATTTTGAAAATCCGTCCAGGATTTCAAAAGTTATGACGTTTTTAAAATTAAAAACATTCAAATTTGGCGAATGTAGCGCCACGCTACGGCGCCAAATATGAGTTTTACAAGGAAATAAGAATGGATCCTTCATATGGGGTCCTAGTAGATTCTAAAAACACTAGTCTCCGTAGCCCGCTTTGCGGGCTCTAGGCAAACATGAGGCTTTATTTCATAAGGTAGAAGCGCCTTCCATGTCACCGTCAAGTTACAACTCTAAGGGCGTAGGTCAAAGGTTAAGTTACAACTCTAATGTGTAGGTCCCAGGTTGAGTAACAATTTTAAGGAATGTGCCGAGCTTAGAGGTCACGTAAATACTCCACGGGTGAGAATTTCAAGTCTCGTCCAATTCGGGGCGCCACTGGTTGTTCTGGTGTAGGCAACGTTTTGAGAACGTTTTTGTACTTTCGGCGAAGAACGCCCCCTAGCGCCGAAAAATGCAAAATGGTTGCTCAAAGTTCCGCTAGGTGGCGTTGGCCGGTAACTAAAATAAATATGGGGCAATGTGAGACTCCTGCGAATATTCAAGCGCCAAATTCAATTGTGGACACGACCCACTGCACAATTCTTGGTTGTGATAGTGGGTACCCTGGACACGACTATCATCTCGAAAGGTTCCCTAGTTAGTGAAACTAAATCCTGCTCCGGCCGTCCAAACAAAGTCCATGTGCGTTATACCAAAATCGTCCTCCATGCTGAGATTTTTTCAAGAGTTCGGGGATCTATGTGAACTATTTTCATACCTGTGGGTAGCACTAACCCTGCCTATTACATAAAGAGAGAAATGCAGAAATCCCATATATATATGTTCGTCTCCTCCAATATAGTAATAGGCTGGTTAGTACTAACCTTAACTTTGTTCAAGGGGCCGGTCATAAATTATGTAACGCGATTTTTTAGGCCCTCTTTAACATTTTTTTGGATTTTCATCGGAGCCATAGACCCCCCCTTTCGCGTTACATAATTTATGAACGGCACTTAATGAGCGATTCGTTGACACACCGTATTGATCGTAGGAACAGTACTTTATCCCTTTATAGAGAACGTCCATATATTACATCATCATTTTAGTGGGTGGATGGGCTTAGGTTTTCTTATCTCAAAATTCCCTATCCTTTATTTTACACGTTGGGTGGAAGGGTACCAAAAATCGAGAATTTTTGATGACGTAATATATGGATGCCCCCTAGGCTGGGCAGGTCATAAAATGTGTATACTAATTCAGCACACATTTTTCTGCAAATTCATACCCGCTGATCACAAACTTTCCCACATCCTGCACACCGAGGAGAGAATGCTTCATGGTAATGCGGCACGCAATAATATTTCCCATCCTTCTTCCTATATGTTGGCAACTGTACTCCGCATTTGCAGCATACAAAACATTCATAATGCCAGGCGACCCCATCTGCAGTCGCGTGCTGAAAAAATAATGAAACTTAAGGCTCTATTTCATTTTCATAGAGTGTTTAGTCTCACTCAACCCTTGCTCAATGTATTTAAATGTAATTTCTAAAATGGCATCAACTTCATGAGTGTTGAGATAAATGGGACTTTTGAAATTTAAATGTAAAGCTAATTTTTGGTACTACAAAACCTTGGTGTTTTCAAAAAATAGAAAATTCATTTGCTATTTTTGCACACCCAATTTTTTCAAAAAATGAATTTTCTAATTTTTGAAAACACCTAGGTTTTGTAGTATCAAAAAATTAGCTTTACATTAAAATTTCAAAAGTCCCATTTATCTCAACACTCATGAAGTTGATGCCATTTTAGAAATTACATTTAAAGACATTGAACACGGGTTGAGTGAGATTGCGCGCGAACGCGTCATCCACAACAGTCTTAAAAAACCTCTAGATTATGTCAGTATGGTTCAAGTGACGAGGGATTGGAACTAACAATGGAGGTCTCTCAACGTATGCTCCCAGCTTTGGACCGAACTAGCATCAATCGATCACAAATTTAATTAGAATGAAATTTGCAAATGGCACTATCTCCCAATGCGCAGGTTTGGCGGATATATTTGCATCCAAAGCGGAAAAAATGCGGAGCAAATTTTTAAAATGAAAGATTTGCAAGCCTTGGGGATGTGTTTTCTCCTTTTTTTATGCAAATATCTGTGCTAAACTTGAGCATTGGGAGATAGTGTCATTTGCAAGTTTCATTCTAATTAAATTTGTGATCGATTGACGCTAGTTTGGTCCAAAGCTGGGAGCATACGTTGGGAGACCTCCATTGTTAGTATAGGGGAAATGTCACCCGAAAGTTCCCATCCCCTGGACTTTTTATTTATTCAAGTTACAGGGAAACGGAACCTAATTGTCGCAGGATTTAGCGGGTGTCGATTCCCCGTACCCTATTACACAAAAGTTACGATTCCCCTGAACCCAAGATTTTTCTTGGGTTTTTCCTAAAGTGGATAAATTTCTGCAGAAAATTTGAGTTATCTCAAATTAACAAATTAAGAACGTAAAGTTTCCTAAAATCAGAAATACCTGACTAATTTTATGAGCGGCAAGCTAAAAATATGTACGGGGAATCGTCACTCAATTATTATGTGTATATATAAAGAGTAGTAGAAGAATCTTGGGTTCAGGGGAATCGTAACTTTTGTGTAAGAGGGTACCGGGGAATCGACACCCGCTAAATCCTGCGACAAGTTGGTTCCGTTTCCCTGTAACTTGCATACCTAAAAAGCCCAGGGAATGGGAACTTTTGGGTAACGTTTCTCCTGCACTAACAATGCGATGACGCCAGCGGTCTCGCTCCGATTTTGATAAAACCACAATAATTATGTGTTCGTGAAAATTCAATTGTGTGCGTAAAAATTCGAATTTTCGGCTACTTATACCATCATAACTTTGTTTAAACTGAGCATTATGAAAAATCCCGAAACATGTGTTCAATAATTTAGCTAAGGCTACATATAATTATCCAAGTTTCATCAAAATCGGAGCGAGACCGCTGGCGTGATCGCATTGTTAGTTCCACTTGAATCAGACTGATGTAAGAAAATAAAATATTCCCCCTGAAACAATACGAAATTATCAGGGATGGTTAAAATAGATGTTTTAAATACAATTGTATTTTTAACCAATATAGACAATTGTATTTTGTATTCTACAATTAGAAAAATGTATTTTCACTTCAAAATACAAACACTTTTCGAAAATAGGTACAATCATGTTAATCGCACTATAAGCAGATTTTTAAAACAGATTTAAAAAATGTACAGTAAGCCCGGATTTAATGCACAATAAAAATTAAATATTTACTTCGGAATAAAGTATTCCAATACAATTAGTTCTTTTCACAACAACAAAAACATTAAATTTTAGGTCTGAAAAAGTGTATTTTCAGTAAAAATCGAAAACCGGTTTTCAAGTGTGTAAAAACCGGTTTTTACACTCATTACACTTTTAATCATAAAACTGTTTTTTTAAATTGCAAAACCGGGGTTTGGCTAAATTGAAACCTATAGTTTTTTACCGATTTTGGATGTCCAAATTCTGTCCTACCTGTTTATCGCAAACTTTCCCGCATCCAGTGCATCTTTTGGCGAAACGATCCAGGTAATCAAGCAGGCAATAGTATTTTTCATCCTTGCAATAGTGCCCTTGCTCGCGCAACTGAGTCCCGCACACACAACAGACGAAGCATTGGTGGTGCCATTTTCTGTTTCCAGTGATCGTGAACTAGCAAAGATTTCAATCAATTTTTAGACATGCAATATTCGCGTCAAGGAGCCATTCATATATTGTATAACGCAAAAATCGCGATTTTCTAAACCCCCTCCCCCTTTACCAACTAGAGGTGAGTCGGTTCGACACTTTTTTTAATGCATCCGAACCGAATCCGAACCTTTCGGTTGAAAAAAATATCCATCCGACCCGTATCCAAAGGTTTTGCCGAACCGAATCGAAAAACTCGGTTTCAGTTTGAATGGATGTATTAGTAGGTAGGTATTTATTTTATCCGAAAGTCGAATAACCGACTCAACTCTGATACCCTGATATCATTGGAGCCTTAGACCCCCCTCCTCCCTCTCGCGTTGCATACTGTATGAACGGTCCCCACGTGGTAATACCTGTCCAACAAGATCCCCACCACAATTATAGCATCCGGTGCCGGTATAGCTTGCAGCCGTATTAGAATGATACGGTGTATCAGTCGCTGAATTTTGGAAGTTGACGCTGATCTTTTTATTAACATTCTTATCCGCACCCAGGCTAATTTTTGAAAACCCATCTGTAACTTTTGACGTTGATGGAGGCGAAGTACTAGTAGAAGTTTTAATTTTGACGAAATTATGCGTCTCGGGATGAAGCCCTGTTCTCGCTTCGCAACTTTGGCAAAGGTTATAATCCGAACAGATGATACATTTGTAGCGCACTCCATGAATGTCCGGGTTTCCGCAGCCCTTGCAGCTCACGCCGTAATGAACTGTGTAACTTTGGACGGATGAATTCGAACTGTCGCTTGATTTAGGTTTGGCGCTAGAATCGGGTGGCGCTTCTAGAAATGCGGAATATATTTCTGAAGGGGTTGATCTTCTATCAGAATCGACTTCCGTCATACTTAATATGACTCCAGCTGCGACAGGCCATTTGCTGCCGACTAGTGATGGAAGTTGTCTCTTAAATTTTAATTCCATCACGAGGTTTATCAATTTGTCGAAGGAGCCATTGTTATGCGAAGGTTGCGCGGAGGGGTGTAACAGCTCGAGGAAGATGATGCCAAGGGCGTAAATATCGACGCTTTTTCCGTATCGTTGGCCTTCCTGTTCGGGCGCGAAGTACAACCGGGTTCCCGTGGCTTGTGTGTGGGTCAGGGAAAATGAGGTGGAATGGGACGTTGCGATTCCAAGGTCGCCAATTTTAATGATTTTTGGGTCGGAGAATGATGTAAAAATATTTTCGGGTTTTAGGTCTCGATGGATTATTCCGTATTTGTGGATGTGTTCGACCCCTTTGACAAGTTGGATGAAGGTATTCATAGCTTTTTGATCGTCTGGAAGCCGGCTTGAGGCAAGACAGCTGCGTAGATCGCGACCACATAGTTCCATCTGAATGCAGATTATATCCAGGGCGCTTTTTCCTGGGGGGACACTGCAAATTTTGAATAGAATTGATGCAAAGTTTAGTTTAAAATATTGGGGAGATTGCGAATTAAGGTATGTGTTTGTATGGTATTTCTCATGAGTATTTCTATACAGATGGTATACTTTTCTGGGTATATCATTATATCTCAGCTAAAATTCATATGGTATTACTAGATACATAAATGCTCAAGGTCATTCCACTAATACAGGTACTTATATTTCCGTATTTTGAGCAACTGACTCACTCTCACAATGGAGGTCTCCCAATGTGTGCTCACAGAGTTGGACCAAACTAACGTCAATGGATCACAAATCTAATTAGTATGAAATTTGCAAATAGAACTATCTCCCAATGCGCAAGTTTGGCGGAGATATTTGCATGCAAAGCGGGAAAAATGCGCAAAAAATTTGTCAGCCTTGGGGTTAGGACTGCCAATGAGTTCGAGTCAGCTCATATGACTCATTGAGTTAGTGAGTTGAGTCGAGAGTATGGCTCGACTCACTTTGAAATGAGTGAGTAAGAAAATAATGAGTTTGAGTTGAGTTACGAAAAATGAGTTCGAGTTGACTCATGAGTCAACTCATTAAGGATTTTTTACTGCCAGTTTGTCCACTTCGACATTTTCACCTTGGTGAAAGCAAGCTGATAAATCTAGAGATATTTAGCGATTTGGAATAAAATTATTCACATTTTCGATTTTTTCACTTTCAAATCCTCGTGAATGTAATGTGAGACACTTTCTCTCCAAATAGTTTGAATTTGCTGGGCTGGATGAAATACAAAATGGACAAATGTGCAATTGTCAAAGATTTTTTAAACGAAAAATTACAATGTTAAATACACATATTAAACTGTCCTCCCTATACACATCGCCATCATACACCGATTTGTTGACTAGCTTATTGAAATTATCACAACAATTTTATATTTGTAGATTTTAATCTTCTGTATAAAATCATGAAAATTGTAATGGGTGGCTACCGATATCGTTCTCAACGGAAAATTCATTTAAGAATCAAAAGTATAACGAGATTTTAACCCCCTATGAACGTATTTATGTAAATAAATATTTTACTCTAAAAAAGGTGAGTGGACTCATGATATGAGTTGAGTTTGAGTCGTTAACATTTGAGTTGAGTCGAGTTTGAGTTGAGACTAATTTGAGTCGAGTTGAGTTTGAGTCGGTGATTTTTCTTAATGAGTTGAGTTCACCCTTAACTCAGCTCAACTCATTGGCAGTCCTACTTGGGGTACGTTTTCTCCTCTTTTTATGCAAATATCTTGGCTAAACTTGAGCATTGGGAGATAGTACCATTTGCAAATTTAATACTTTGTGATCGATTGACGCTAGTTTGCTCTAAATCTGTGAGCATACGTTGGGAGACCTCCATTATTTGTTGTTCATAATTTTAAAATAATTTCCCAAAGGCACGAAATGGTTAAACAAGGTTATGATTTTGGAGAGGTTAACGCAACATACGTAAATTGAACACCCGACGAGTTTTGTCCAATCTTTGCATGCACCGCTTTGAGTGCAGCGGCACTTAACGAATCCTTCCAACAGGTGTGGTAGCGAACGAGGTTTTTGTGGTATGGCACCTTAACCAGGTTTTGAACTTCCCTCTCAGCGTCCCCGTCACTAGCGAGGGTCACCTTAATCGCGTAAGTACTTTTATCGAGACGATTCACAACTTGTAGCACAGCTCCGAAACTACCCGCTCCTAATAATTTGGTTATACTATTTTCCTCCAAAAGTCTGGAATCTGGGGGGTAAAAGATAAAAAAAGTATTAAAATCATACCTGTTCAAAAAAACTTTTTTCATTCACAATTCAGGAGTTCTGACTGAAGATTTTCATTTACACTCAGTCGTCATTTCCTTTCAAACTCATTTCATTTCACTTCATTTGACTTCATTTCTTACTGTATTAAGCATAAGGTGAAAAATGAAATGAGTGAGGAATCCTTTCATTCACAGTTATTCATCTGAAATGACGGAATCTTTCACTTGTTTTCATTCAAATCACAGGAAATTCATTTTCATTCACTATCATACACAATCAGTCAAATGAATGAAATTGAACAGGTATGATTAAACTAGAAAAAAAACGCTAAGTTCTTACTTTTTGCAGTAGCCATCGCAGGTGTAGGTATTTAAAACAGGTCAGCAAATTATTGTAATTAATTATAATTAAGTGCCAACTTAACCAGTGCACTAATCAATTAACCATTAATTTTAAGAAGTATAATGAGTATAACGATGTTATATATTTTTTAATATTTTGTAACTCTATGGACAATTATGTCTGAAAGGGTTTTATAATGAATTAATCAACTATGCATCAACAAGTAAGCAGTGCTCATACGTTCTGCCTCTGCCTTGGCAAACAGATTCACAATGGGGACGCGAACCAAGTTCAAGCCAGATTATTTTGTGACCTTGTTGGTTTGGTTGGTTTGTAGTCATTTATTCACATGTTATTCCTTGATCAGTACAATTTAATGACTGGTTTTCATCAAGTAAGACTAAGAAAATAGATTGAGTAAAGAAGCTAACTTACATTTTACTTATAATCTAACCTAAGTTTACGATTTTTCTTAACAAATTCTGTAATAAGACTTTCCTGTACATGTATATTTTCATCTAACAATGGGGACGCAAACCATGTTCGACCCAGATTATTTTTTGACCAGGTTAGTTTGAAAGAACAATTCTTTAGAAACAACGTTTAGCCCGGCATTTGCGCATATGCGAGAAATTCAGCAAGTATTGGGACTTGCAAGTCTACGAAAACGCTCGGTTGCCGAGCAGAATCTGGCAGAAATTGAGCATTTTCGCGAACTTGCGGTGCCCAAGACTTGCTGAATTTGTCGCATCTGCGCAATTGTGGCGCTAAACATTTCTAACGAGTTCCTCTTTCAAACTATATAACTAAAAATAATCAGGGCTGAACATGATTTGTTTCCCAATTGTCATTTTTTTACGAAATTATGTACACTTTATCCCGCTTAAAAGCCCTAAAAAATCTGGGTTGAACATGCTTTGCACACCCATTGTAAGTCTTATCAGTATTTCATTTGATGGTCATAAATATACTTTTTTTATACTATCTTTTTTTCAGAGCTCAACCAGCTTTATAACTGCGAATTCAACGTGATCATTAGGGGTATTCATTATATACGAGTTCGCATGCAACATACATATTTACATAATTTTAAAAAAGTGCGGATTAAACATGGAAATGTGCAAGTTCGCAAATGAATTTATTTCCAAGCCTAAATTTTGTTCCAACTTTGTTTTAACGCTGCTTGCGATATGAATTCGTGATGAATACCCCCATTATTTCGTTACAATTAATATATCAGGTTGTTTAGATTGAATCAATTGAATCACTATTTAGAATAAATACGTGGCCTTGTTGTCTCTTGCCTTGTACTTCACAGCCACATATTTTCGTTGGCAATGGCCGCGGAAGCCGTGTGGACCTCTGGGGGCATTTATATTGTAGGGGAGGCAAGGCATGAGTGGTTCGTATGATCATGTGGACATCGAACATCCTGTTCAAAAAAACTTTTTTTCATTCAAAGTTCAGTCATCCCGATTTCTGCCTGAAGATTTCCATTCACACTCAGTCATTTTCATTCAAACTCATATCATTTCACTTCATCTGACTGCATTTATTACTTCGCCCCACGTATTAAGCATAGGGTGAAAAATGAACTGAAATGAGTGAGAAATCTTTCATTCGCACTCACTCATCTGAAATGACGGAATCTTTCACCCATTTTCATTCAAATCACAGGAAATTAATTTTCATTCCCTCTCATTCTGTATCAAAATCAGTCACATGAATGAAAATGAACAGCCATGCAACCGTAGCGACATTGTCCCCCCGCTTCCGCGGCCACTGTTCGGTCGTACGTATGTATGCCTTTCATCTGTCAGATTGCATATTTTTTATGATACGCAGGAATTTATTTGTTTCATAATTCATTCTACATACTTGATAAGGCAGACTGGCTTTTATGATATGCCATGATAACCACTTAACAATTAGTCAGCCTGATTAATTAAATTATTCAGGGCAATAAAACAAATGCATTAAATCAAATCTATTTAGGGCCGTCCGCAAAAAATTAAACGTTTGATTCAACCTGAGTAAATTTAGTGGTCACTCGTAAATAGAGACGGATAAAAGTGTAGGATTTTTGTTGGATAAGAATCGGAGACATACTCCGTACTGGGATTGATTTGGTAATAAATTTTTACCAGTTTGGTAGTATTTTTGTCATTTCTCTGGCCAGTAATGTTTTAACACAGGTTTTCTAAAAGTAAATGAAATTTGCATCTCTCACACTCTTAATAATCCGGTAAGGTCACGCAGGTAATGATTTCTCGGTAATAACTTTAGTAATACTATTTTACCAGGTAGTAAAAATTCGTTACCATGATGGTAAAACTTTATTAATAAGCCGGTACAACTTATCATTACCACTTTGGTAGAGTCATATACTTGTGCTTTTCGGTAATGTTTATTACCAGATTATTTACAGTGCACGCACTCGCTATATTTTCAAAGTCAAAATTTCTGTGGGAATTGATTTTAAAATTCTGAACGACTAATTTGTAGTGAGGTGCACATTTTTTAAAAACATGTTTCCCGTATTTTGACAAATTTTGAAAGAGGAGAGCTCAAGGTTTAAGAAGCCTTCAGAAAAGTTGGAACTCGCTTAAAATACTTAATCAATCAACTCACTGAAGATGAGTACAAATTTTTCGTTCATAATTTTAAAATAAATTCCCAGAGGGGAGAAATCATTAAAAATTTGGTAATTTTGATGATGAGTCATCGTTAATTAATTGAACCTCCCAGTTAATTAATTAATATTCATAACAAATAAATTACTCACCGCGATTCCATTACTCATGGGGTACAAATTTTGAAATTTCATCCTGCAGATAGGGGCCGTACATAAATTACGGAGCGCAAAAATCGCGATTTTCTTGACCCCCCTTTAACATGTGTCACATAGGCACGATATCATTGGAGCCTTGAACACCCTTTCCCCCCCCCCCCCGCCCCCTCTCGCGTCACATAATTTATGGTCCGTCCCCTACATTATTTAATTAATTGAATCCTCTCTTCCCAGTTAATTAATTAATACCCAAGATAAACAAATTACTTATCGGCATTCCATTAATCCATAACTCAAATTTTCAAATTGCCGATAGGGGCCGTCCATAAATTACGTAACGCAAAAATCAGGATTTTTTAGACCCCCCACGCTCCCGCCTTTAGCATAGGTGCGATATCCTTTGAGACCCCCTAGCCTCCCCCTCTTTCAGTACGTAATTTATAAACGGTCCCAGTATAATTTTCTTAAATTGTTTTTTAGTTTCCACAAAATAAATCTGCATTGCTATGACGTCCTCGAGGTCCAAATTGGAATCCGCGCCACGCACCGTAGCCTTCGCGCCGTCGGAATCTGGCGGCGCGGAAGGGAACTGCGAAGTGAGCGTGTACGCCGCGGTCGACGTGAGCGGAAGCATGGCGGGTCCCAAGGCGACCGAAGTGTGCGAAGCGCTCCAGCGGATCATCGACGACTGTCCGGACAATGTTCTGTTCGACATCACGTTGTTTTCGACGACCACGTGGAAAGCCGCGACGGCGCTAAAAACTGGATTGAACACGGGAAAACTGATCGCGGAAATTCAAACGGCGTGCGGACGGAAAGGAATGACCGCGCTGTATGATGCGTGGGGCAATATGTTGACTAGTATTCCGAAAGCGGGTAATTTGAATTTGGTCCGTTTTTATTATCAGAGGGCGGTTATGTATCTGTTTTCAAGTTTCCGATTTTATCCTAACCAATAGTCAAACCCTTTTATGAGGATGTTTTCATAGAATTTCAAAAATTTCAAGATATTTTTACATCTTGCTAAATATTTCTAGCTTCTTAGGCACGTAAACTATAGACATTTCTGTATAAATATTTGCAAAATATGGAAATATTTTTAGATATTTTTTCAAAAATACGTAGATATTTTACATAAATATTTCAAAGATTTAAAGCGAATTTTTTTGTTTAAAGAAATTTGACTTCGAAAAAGCTTACAGAAATTAATTTACGAAATAAAAATTGCGAAAATTCAAGAATTTTTATCGCTTTTTTGATGCATGTTTGGTAAATATTTTGGCGTTTCATTTATCAAAAATATCAAATACGAAAATCGGTGATTTTTCGTAAATACATAACCGCACTTTGATTTTTATACGTTATTTTTAGGAAAAATTATCATTCTTTGTTCTTAGTTTTGAAAAACGGTTTCGTGAAAATCTTTGTGCTCACGGATGGCGAGGACAACTGTTCCACGAAATACGATGCGAACTCTATCGTCCAACTGACAAAAAGTATTGTGGGCGGGAATTCCAAATTTGACTTTATTCAAGTTGGAAAAGGTGGAAATGCGGGGATTGTCAGTGCCCTAAAGACCCTAAATACTGCGACGGGAAATAATGCTTTTCGCTCGATGGTTGTGGATGATTCAGCTAAAGGAATAAGATCCGTAAGCTGGTTGACGATTTTGGGGTTGGAGACGTCCATATATTGCGTCATGAAAAATGTCGATAAGTGCTTTTGGGTCGCTTATCTTACTCGTGTTAAGCTCAACTTGAGTAGGATAAGGAAGCGGTGGGTGGTCTTAAAATTGACGTTTTTTTTGATGACGCAATATATGGACGTGCCCAAATGCTACAGCTTCTGTCATTAACCTTAGGACTGAATTACTATAAATAATCGTCAAAATCAGTACATTTTGAACCATTTCTCCGCTCTGGAAATTGATTTCAAAATTCTGGACGACGAATTTGTCGACCAATTTAAAATAAATATGCACTCCGCATTTTGACACTTTTTGAAGGAGATTTAAAATTAAGAAATCTTCAGACAAATTTGAACTCATCGAAACTGGCTGAAAAAACTCACTGAGGATGAGTACAAATTTGTCGTTCATAATTTTAAAATAAATTCGCAGAGGGGAGAAATGATTATAAATATCTGTATGTGGATTTTGAAAATTTTGGTGATGAAAATGAGTGAAATGGAAATCTGAAGATGAGTGAAATGGAAATTTTCGATTTTTTATGAACAGGCCATGTCCACCGTGCACAAGGATATCCTGCTTTCCACCACGAGTAAGAATAACCCAGGTAATTCAACCCTAAAAGCGTCAGCTACTGGATCCGGGCAGACTCACGTGGGGCTAACTTCAGGTTCGACAAGAAATGCAAATCCAAGTTCGCGCGGTGCCGCGAGCGCAACCGCAACGCTAAGCAGTATCCACGAGGCGAAGCTTATCCAAAGTTTTTCCGCGGCGGATATGATGTCGACAAGGAAAGTTGGGTCGACAACGGGGGCCAGCAGTAAGGGTGGGGCCGGACCTAGTAGTAGCCGCCCTGGTGGCGGTACAAGCAACAGTCAAGCGGGAACTAAGAAGACGGAAAACGGCAATATTCTGAGCAGTACGAGTTCATCATTTCGCTTGCAGTGATTGTTTTAATTAAATACTTGGAATTCAAAATATTCGCGTGCTTAGGGTCCGTTCATAAATTATATAACGCCAAAATCGCACACCCTTTAACATGTTACATATGTAGCTACATTTCTAATTAATTAATAATTGATAATTATAAGGAAAATATTTTGCCTAATTAATTGGCAGTTAGTAATTAAACTCGGCTTACAAATTAAGCCAGTCAATTAGCTAATTAATTAAAATATTGACAAATTAATGGATGATTTTTAGTGATTTTCTAATTAATTAGTAATTAAAATTAGCTTATGTATTACTAGTTAAGGTTAATTAGGAATTAATACTTAGTTTAAACATGCTATGTAATTAGATAATTAATTAAATTCACTAGTTAATTAGAAAGCCCTGTTAATAGGAAAGACATGATCTCGCAATGGGCAAGTTTGACGGAGATTTTTGCATCCAAAGAAGACAAAGTACGGCAAATTTTCTCTTCTTCGGATGTAAATATCTCTGCCAACCGTGCAGATGGGGAGATAGTCTTTTGCAGTGCAGTTTAAATTTAGGATCGATTGACACTTACATTTTGCTCAAAGTCGGGTCGTCGAGCATAAGCTGCTCGACGTCCATTGCGAATTGAACAAAACATTATTGAAAGTTAATTATAATTTGATTTGATTTAAACCTTTATTCAACTGTTAATAGAAATCAGTTTACAAAAACTGGTTTAAATTGTATGACACGAATAGCCATATAAATTTAAGCGAATTACTAAACTAATACGCGAGCTAGTAATAAATATGGGAAATTTTTATTTAGGGTGCACATATTTCGGTTCGTATACGTATAAACGTACTCCTTTCATCTATTAAATAACAAACGGTTTGTAAATGCTTACCAGTTTCATAATGCACTGTGTTTTATAAAGCATACTTGACTTTCATGACACGCCATGATAACCAGCCAGTTCATCCTCGTTAATTAAGTGCAACTAGGGCCGTCTGCAAAAATACGTTTGACGTAAATTTAGTGCGGAGACAAGACAACGTGTGCATACTTGGACGCATTTTATGGATAAGAGTACGATTTATTGTAGAGCTGAATCAGTTGGAGAATTTCAGACCAGAGGTCGACGCCGACAAATTTTCGGCGGCGGCGGCGGCGCCAGTTTTTGGTGATTTTTCGGCGGCTTCGGCGGCATGGCGTGGCGCGACGGCGCAATGTTGAAGGTATAGGAAATCAAATTTTTCGGCGTCGGCGGCGTATGGTCGGCGGCGTCGACCTCTGTTTCAGACCTTATAATTGATTCGCCCAATATCACACTGTGCAATGTGCGCATACAACCTGCTTTCTTGATTATTCAAATTCACAGGTACAATGTGTAAATATGACTGAAGTGCTATAAATTTGGGCGACGTTCGTATATTTGCATTTAGTTAGATTATGCACTCGATAACTTGTACATACTTCGTTGCAGTCATCTACTTGCTGATAAAATTGGAAACGAGAAATATTATCATCAAATACCTAAAGTACTTACTCTCCAATCCCAGTCGAGATTTGGTTGTCAAATTGAATACAACAATATTTCCAGTTCCCGTAACCACGGTGTAGAACATAGATATAGAGTAGAATAGATCAAGCTTCTTCCATATTGTCAATGTTAAAAACTCGGCAATGTTTTTGAGGTGGGACTAAACCCTGCCTGTGTCTACAAACCAAGCTTGTTAAACTCCGTATTTTATTATTCGACACCACTTATTTTTATTTTGGCGTTTAAATTATTCAATTTCGTATGATTTAAACGCCAAAATAAAAATAACAGGTGTCAAATAATAATTTTTTAATGGTGTGCAAGCGTGCTAAGCATTCCATGCGCTACCGTGCAACCATGCGTTATCCCCAAATTATCCCCAAATTCTCCTCCATGCCGAGACGCTTTTTTCAAAAGTAGCCGAATCTACTCTACTCTATATCTATGGTGTAGAACTACCTTATAGATTTCCCCTCTCTCCACCAGTTTATCTCAATAAGGCTAATCAATAGCTATTGTAAGCAAATTTCAACTCCTTTGCAAATTTCATCCTAATTAAATTTGTGACGGTTTGACGCTAATTTGGTCAACATTTGAGAGCGTACGATAGGAGACCTTAATTCTAAGGGAGAAATGAGAGATTTGTGAGAGGAACGTGATTTATGAGAAATATTCGATTTGTCTTGATCTGTTCGACAATCCAAGGCAGGGATTTAGGAAAATCACCGTCATTTCGACTGTAACTGTGTAGACTAGGATAAAAATTATAAAATGTCGAAACTAGAAAAATTTCAGCTTTTCTTCGAAATTAAAATTAGTCAAATTTATTCAGCACGGAGTAAAAAATGACACCATCTCCAACGATGTGCCAAATTTATTCAGTCTTTAGCAAAATTTTACACAATTTTATACAAATCTTGCACAACGCTGGGGAAATTTTACCTTTTTGTTATATCATCCTCTTTGTTACACAACCTTGAGTAAATTTTGCTTATTTTTATTTAGAGTGTATGCATCACAATGCACTCCACAAGTTTATTATATCTATTGCTGAAGTTTATTTCGAAATGGTTTACATTAATTAAGTTTATTTTGAATTAAGTTTATTTAAAATTTAATTAATTTTAAAATTCAAATTAATTTTATTATTCTAGAAATATCATGGCCGCCCAATCTACGACTACCGAAACGGCACCTCTTACCCAGGCCGAACAGGATGAGTTTTTGGATCTCGTCGTTGCTCAATCTGCACGGGCTGCTCTGCGTGAAGAAAGCCCGTTTTGGGACGCGATTTCCCAGTTTATCGACATGTTTCGAGACATGATTCGGAACACGTTGGTCCTAAAACTCGAACATTTGCCGATCATTGGAACATGGGCGTCCAGGGTTGCCGTTACGGTTTCTGAACTGATATTTACCCTTGTTGGGACACTGCTTCACTTTTTGAAGACCATATTTTCCGCGAAACGTGTCTGGATTGAGGCGCACACTGCCGCGCTTACTGCTTGGAAGGCAAACGAAGATAAAGGTCTTCTGGCGCAGACATACGCATACTCCAAGAAAATGGCGGGATATTTCCTGGAAATTATTAAGCAATGCTTGGAACGTGCTATTAAAACGCAAGGACTGGAAATGACGCAGGCTGAAGTTGCCGACATTTCGAAACTTTTGGATGAGATTTTGTAAATAAATTGATTTATTGTATACACGATGTTTGTCATGTTTTACAATGATTGATTTTTTTTCAAGGAAATAAAATTATTATGTTGGCAAATAAATTGATAAATTGGAACCAGTCATTAGCAATGTTCAAAACTCTTCAGCAATGTTAAACACTCTTTAGCAACCATAAAAAATATTTGGCTACATTAAAAAAAGTCTTTAGCAACGTTAAAAAGTCCGTAGCAACAACAAGAAAACTCCATAGCAACATAAAGATGCCTCAGGGGCACGGGAGGTCAAAACGGTATTAATTTTTGAATTCCCCACCTCCCGGAACTCTAGACAGAGTGTAATAAAACACGGTATTAACTTGACAACAAACCCACGAGTGTGTACTTTGTTAACTCTTCAATAATGCGTGATTTCAAAACATGAACCCGCGCTCACCTCTACGTCGAGATGACCATGGCATCATGGTCTGGAAGGAGATAGTGTGGTGAGGTCGTTCCGGAGAGGAGTTGGGCGATTTTATTTGTTGCGTCCTGTTCATCTTCGAAGGTGAGGTAGGCTAGTTTATTCCCTCCGTTACGGAGAGACAGGATGATTCCACCGGCAGAAGGGCAGGTTTTGGAAATGCGTCGAAATTTCCGAATTTCTAGGTCTCTTAGGTGAGCAAAAATAGAGAAAAGCGACCATACCTGTTCAAAAAATTAGTTTTCAATCAAAAGTCAGTCATCCCGATTTCTGACTGAAGATTTTCATTCACATGCACTCATTTGCTTTCAAACTCATTTCATTTCACTTCACTTCATTTCTTACTTCATTTCCTACTTCGCGCCATGTATTAAGCATAAATGAAAGGAGTGAAAAATAATTTTATTCATAGTCACACGTCTGAAATGATGGAATCTTTCACTCCTTTTCATTCAAACCACGGGAAATTCATTTTCATGCAGTATCATAATTAGTCAAATGAATAAAAGTGAACAAGTATGTATGCTACGGCGAACAGGAAGCCCGCGATTGAAGGGTCGACGGTAGTGTCACCACAATAACCGACTATTTTGATTAAAAAAAAAAAGGTCGTCTTTATTGATTCCCAATTTTAGCCATTACATTTGAATTACAAGTGAACCAAACCTCACATAAGTGAGAAATAGATTAACAATGCCATGGTGTGAAGTGTAACCCTCCGATTTAGTTGAAATTTCGAAATTATTTGGTACAAGTCAATACAACCAACGTGTCTTCAGGCAGTTTATGCGATGGTCAGAATTTGGCAAAATATTTGAGGTCAAAGTTGAAAAACGGGCGATTTTTACCAGGCGGAGGAAGCTAACTCGAATTGCAGAAAATCCCCTCCCCCCAATAGCCTCCCCCCAATGGCCTCCCAGTAATAACCTCCGACCAATTGCCTCCTGAGGAAATTGGCCTCCCTTACCAATGGCCTCCTAACCAATATCCTCCCAACCAATCTCCACCCAGGCCAATCGCCTCCCACCCAATATCCTCCCATGATAAATACACCCATTGTTTTTTTAATACTTAACTTATCCAAATCTTAATTGTGTCATCATCACTATTTAGTCATCAGCGAGAGAGATTATCTGGGGGGTTGTCAGACAGTGATTATTATTACAACCACACAGAAAATCACCGTCAGACGGTGATTATCTATGTGTGGTTGTCTACGGGGATTATGTAGAAGTGGTTGTCTGATGGAGATTATCCTGGGTGGTTATTTGGGAGTGGTTGTAAATGAATTTTTTTTGTTAAATTACAATTTTTGAATTTTCGCGCAATTCGAAACTTAACTTTCTCCACTTTCACTAGAGTAAAAGTACAGTGTCGTTTGCATGCGTGCAGGTAAAATGATGAATGTTGGATGATAGTAAATAAAAATACGTACTTTTACATATTAGTGACGAGAACAAAGAAACTGGAGATTTTTACACTGGTTCGTATGCGTACATTGTTTTCTTCACTAATATGTAAAAGTGCATATTTCTAGTTACATATTGATGAGTAACGCTCTCTTTCTGATGACTAAATAGTGGTGATGACACAATTAAGATTTGGATAAGTTAAGTATTAAAAAAACAATGGGTGTATTTATCATGGGAGGATATTGGGTGGGAGGCGATTGGCCTGGGTGGAGATTGGTTGGGAGGATATTGGTTAGGAGGCCATTGGTAAGGGAGGCCAATTTCCTCAGGAGGCAATTGGTCGGAGGTTATTACTGGGAGGCCATTGGGGGGAGGCTATTGGGGGGAGGCCATGATCCGTAAGCCAGCTAACTCAACTTCCAGTAATAAAAATTGCACACTTTTCAACTTTAAGCTCAAATATTTTGCCAAATTCTGACCATCGCACAAACTGCCTAAAGAAACGTTGATTGTATTGACTTGCACCACATAATTTCAAAATTTCATCCACATCGGAGGGTTACACTTCACACCATCGCATTGTAAGTAGTTTTAACAAGTTATTTAAAACAGTTGGTTATAACAGTTTATCAAGTTGGGGATTGGGATGAGTGAACTTGTTTTTCAGATTTTTTAAATTTTATGAGACTTTTTTCATGTCTGGGTTCCTTTCGAATTTTGTGAGAACGTATTGTATCGTTGCGTTGAAGGGAACGTATTCTATGACATTGAAGATTTTAATTTTGTTTAAATTTGTGTCTCGCATAAATGAGACGAACATAAATTTATGAGCATTTGTGAGGATTTGAAATAAAAAAATATTTTTAACAAAATTATCCAAAAATTCAAGTGATACAATTTTGTGCTAAAATTCTTGACCAATTAATTGCATAGAAAATTAGGTGAACATGTAAATGCATACATTTGAGACGGGTTTAGCATGTACATACACAGACTTGTTGGGAAAAGTGAGACTTTTATTGGAATATTTCCTACAAGGAATAAATAAATCGATCTTGGTTTGTGAGGCAAGGTGAGATAATTTCTCGGTAGAGTATTTTTTATCCAGTCGTGCTCAGATTGCTAATCCTAATTAAATAAATAAATAAATACTGAACTGATAGCGATGAGTCTTGCATGCAGTGAGACGAAGCTGAAAATGACTGAATCGTATTTTTAATCAATTATTGAGATGCTGACTGATGAAATTTATTTGATTTTGCACCGTTTCTACAAATCGTCACTATTAAGAATGCGATGGTGTGCAGTGTAACCCTCCGATTTGGTTGAAATTTTGAAATTATGTGGTTCATGTCAATACAACCAACGTTTCTTGAGGCAGTTTGTGCGATGGTCAGAATTTGGCAAAATATTTGAGGTTAAAGTGGAAAAATGTGCAATTTTTAGCACGGGAAGAGAATGGAAGTTGAGTTTGCAATCCCACGTTTTTTCCAAATTTGCCCTGAAATATTTTGCCAAATCCTGACCATCGCACAAACTGCCTTAAGAAACGTTGGTTGTATTGACATGGACCACATAATTTCAAAATTTCAGCCAAATCGGAGCGTTACACTTCACACCATCGCATTGTCAGTACTTTAAGTAAGTTCAGTCGTTTTTTTAACTTGATGAGGAATAATGGTAAAACTTTGTGAGGATGGTGATGCGATTTGACTACACTTAAAAATTGTGTATATACGTATTTTTTTAGCCTCATTTGTATACATAAACTTTGCCAAGATTTGATAAAAATTTTAATTAAAAAAATATGGGCGGAATACCTTGGCAAAATAATATTTAGACGTTTTCTTTTAAAAATCTTTCGTAAATATGTACTTATTTTTGGGATGAACTTATATTTTTGGATAATTGACTCACACCAACGGCGTCTTCTAATGATTCAAAAACTCCGTCGTCTCTGACGACTGGAAGTTGGGTGCGGTAGTGAAAAAGGACAGTGGTTTTGGACGCAGTGGCCGCGGAAGCCGTGGAGACATTAATATTGTAGGATAGGGGGTGGATGGGTTTATATATGTAAGATGGGGACATCGAATAATCGTGGGGACATTGTCCCTCTGTCCGCGGCCACTGTTTGGAAGGAAAGCGAATCATTAGGCGGTGGATGGCAGCGTTCTCTCTAAAATTATCCCAGTGGCAGACGTAAATAAATCTGGACTGTGGTGACCTTTAGGAAAATGAAGACTTGGATTAATTTAAGGACTCGTTTCACATCGAAATGATATATTTTTTTACTTGAGAAAACACGGTGGTGTAAGTGATCCTCTGAGGCTGAGGGACATTGGAGATTCCTCTTTCGAAAAGTTTGACCGTTCTCAAACTGAAAAAAACAACAATTGGACATCAGAATTAGATAGGTAATTTTTTATCAGAAATTTGATTATTTTCGAGTAAAATTCGCATATTTATGTATGTAATTGCATACTTTTCCATTCCAACGTTGGGGATGAGATCACAGTCCTGGAGAGCCAAGGTTGCAACCTGGTTCATGCCCCCAACTCGTTTATAACATCTTGGAAGGTCTCCCAGTCCGCCAATACTTCCGGATCCGTCCGTGTTTGCGCATTGGGGGCGAGGAAAGTCAAATTTCTCAGACTTGGGGAGGAAACAATGACCACGGCGAGATGTCACATTTGTAACACCAAAGTCGTGATTTTGAGAGGTTGCAAATTCGCCGAAAAGTCGTTCGCAGGTAGAGTCGGCGTCCACCGCATCGCTTGGAGAAAAGGGATGAGCTACAAGTACAAAAGAACATGATCAGAAAACATGTACAATTTATTTTTTGCGGAAAATTCGCACGTGTTGATCTACCCCGAAGGTTGCCTTGTATGGTAAAAAAAAGCGAATTCCACTAGATTTACACAGTCTTGAAAGATGGTTTTGACCTCATTCATCATGATTGAGTCATCTCCTCCTCTCGCCAAATATCTCTGCAACTCGACGGCCTTCAGATGGATGCTGTACTTTTCTAAAAACGTTGGGAAGATCGGAGTGGTCTTGAGATAGGTCTTGGCACGCATGCAGATTGTTGAGATGACCATGGCACCATATTCTGGTAGAAGACAGCGTGGCGAGGTCGTGCCGGAGAGAAGTTTGTCAAGGCGGGCCAGCCGTGTCGTGTTCAGGCAGGATAGTGAGGTGGGCTCGTTTATTGGCTCCGTTCCGGAGAGACAGGATCATTCCACCCGGA